AGAGAGAGATTACCAGGAATTAATTCAAGTGAAAGGAAATCAAAACGCGTTCATCCCTCTGAAGTAACGACTGTGTTCTCAATAAATCTGCACGTAGGCTCCCGAAGAAGATGTGGCACTATGCAGGCAACCAAAGCTAAACAGGTGCGCACAGATTGGTTTGTTCCGTGTGTTCAAGTACGCTTTATGTTTAGCAAAAAAGGAAATCCTGTTTTCAGAAAGTATGCATAATAATTAAAATTGATTTCACAATTATGTATTTAAAAAACTCTTATGTATAGAATAATGGATTGGTGGTACAGTTAACATACCACCTCAAATTTTGAAAAAGAAATAAGCTCACTTTTGAAAAAAAATACGTTTTTGGTTTATGTGACTACATATAAGCCAGTTATCTATTTCGTTTTTGTAATATACTAACATTAAAATTTTGCCTCCCCACTTGGGATTTTATTTTGGCGTCAGAAATTCTGGCTCCTCATAAAGAGTTTAAAGGTTTCCGTAAAGAACACCCTGTATCTTCGAAACGGCTGATCCGATTTCAACAAACTAGTTAGTTCAAAAGAGCTATTCTTCAGCTACAAATATTATACTATTTGAAGTTTTGTTAGTTCCACATATTACCGCTTGAGGGCTTTTTTCGACATTCCGACAGAAATGGTTAATTTTCTCAAAAAAATTAAATGCCTTGGTTTGATTTTTTTTCATGAAAAAGTAGCTAAATGATGCCTAAACAAGTTCGCGAAAACAGCATCTCGATATCTTGAGATTGGCCAGCATTTCGAGCATTTACGGCGGCATTAAAAGCTTCCTTTTTTAAATCGATCCACCTTAGGGCCACAAATTATATAATAAAAATAATTCCGGAAAAATTAGCTTAAAAAAATAAAACTTTGAGGTTTTTTAGGTTAGGAACAAGATATCGAGATGCGGTTTTCGCGAGCTTGTTTAGGCATCATTTAGCTACTTTTTCATGAAAAAAAAAATCAAACCAACGCATTTAATTTTTTTGAGAAAATTAACCATTTCTGTCGGAAAGTCGAAAAAAGCCCTCAAGCGGCGATATGTGAAACTAACAAAACTTCAAATATTATAATATTTGTAGCCGAAGGATAACTCTTTTCAATTAACCCGAGTTTGTTAAAATCGGCTCAGTCGTTTCGAAGATACAGGGTGTTCTTTACGGAAACCTTTGAATACCCCCCACCACTTCATTTTTAGAGATACAGGAAAAATTGTCAAACAAAAAAGTTTCAGATTATAGTCAACTTCAAAGACCGGACATTTTTTCCTTAGATTAATATGGCGGAATTCACAGAAAAATCGATTCCAGATTGCAGTTACGCCCCCTAGCGGCCATTGCAGAAACTTAAAAATATTTTCCAGGTTTTTCTCGTGTCCGTTTTAGTAATACATTTTTTTACCGCAAACCTCTACGATGGACAGGTTCCCAGATACAGTACCTCGCATTCTTATTTGACCACCCTGTACAATACTAGTGTCTCCCCTTCAATGTGGGTATGTTTTTGCAATTAAGAACTAAATGTATATGGTTACTGTCTGCTGTGTATTAGGAGTAATTACTGGCAGCAATTTCATAATTGGTAGTTTCGATTTTATCAATTATGCCTAGCAGTTCCACATGGTTCCTAGTCCAAATCAGATGACATCCCAATAAGTCAAAATTGTAGTTAACATTGACAAAAAAAAGTTTGGGTCGATCCAGAGGGTAGGGAGTTATGGACATTATTTAGTACCTGCAAATTGTGGTAAAAAAAAATGACCCCCCAGTTTTTTTTTACGGAAATACACGTTTTGAAGCACCAGGAATCTGAATCAAACACAACCTCGATGATGTCAGTTTGTTCGTACTCTCATTTCCAGCTGAATGGATTGGAACCATATTTGGTACAAGTATTCTTAGAAATAATAATAATAATAATAAAGTCTTTTATTAAATCATGCCACACACACAATTTAACAGGGCGAAGTTCACATGTTGGGCTACTCACGACGAGACAACTCTGCTCGACCTAACTCTGCATAAAAGGGTAAAATCACGCATGCGCAGGTGGTATCTGTGCTAGCCACAGCAAAAATTATCAATTCCTTATTGGTGGTTGTGAGGAAGATTTCCTGTTTGGGCATGACATATTTTTTGTATTGCTTTTATTGCAAACCGAATATGTTTTGAGATGAGATCTGAGTAATGAAAATAGCATTTAACTGGGAGATTTTTATTTAAAAATGGATGTTAGGTCTTTCCTATGATGTCAAAATTCAGGTGGAATTATCATATAGTCCCATCAATGAATTAACTGAGCAACTATTTAATTTTCACTACTTTTCAGGCCGGTATACTGTGTAAGCTGCGAACACGATGTTCAATTTTATCGGCCACCAATCCAAAAGGAGGACACCTCGACGATTCCCAGTCGCTAAGCTTAAACTTAGCCATTCCAAGCCCGTTGCTAAGTCGATTTGATATCGTCTTAATGTTAAAAGACACTTACAGAGAGGAATGGGACCGTGCGATAGCGAAGCACGTTTTAGACGAGAAGTTTACCGACTCGCCGGATTCGGACACTTCATTGTGGAGTATGGAGATGTTGCAGCAATATTTTGTGATGATCAAAACGATTAATCCCGTTTTAACGACAATGTCCGACCAAATTTTAGGTGCATATTATCAGGCTCAAAGAAGACAAGAGACCCGTAATAAATCGAGAACTACAGTACGCCTTTTGGAAAGCTTAATAAGGTATTTTGTATTTTAGTTCAAAGTTCAAGCTCATTGCATTAAGATCTTTGTAGGTTATCCCAAGGGCATGCGAGGTTGATGTACCATTCCGAGGTGCAAGTAATGGACGCTGTATTTGCTATTGTGCTCATCGAGTGCTCCATGCATGGAGAATGTGCGGTGCTGTCTTTGGGACCTTTAAATGTTCTCGAGTCCTACCCAGGCGACCCGATGGGTCGCTATGCTGAAATTGTTAACGTGGTTCTTACACAGTTGGGACTAAATCAGATACTGCAACACGAAATGAATTTCATAAATACAAATTATAAGACGTCAAATTTAAATACACAGCGTGATTCGTGCAATGCCAGAGATGACTCGCCGGAAACTTCCAGCACCTCCAATTGCGAAGTAGATAATGTGCCAGAAAACACTGATTCCGTTCCGAAAGGATCAAAGCGGAAGACTAAGGAGCGCAAGTCTGACTCCAATGGTTTAAATTGTATTCCTAGCGTTATTGATTCGTTCAATTTTAACATAGACGACTGTGATAAAAATTGGAGTGAAGACCCTCACTTTCCTGTCGAAAGCCAAAACACCAAGATCAAAAATATTCAGAAAAAATTCAAGTTTACATCAAAGGCCCTACCTCGATTACCAAAGAATCCTAGCACAGATGCAGCGAGTAGTGAAGCAGAAGAAAAAATTCAAATTTGCGCAACCACAAATAAAGAAGTGATGAATGTTGAGCCAATACCGAAAACTGTCCCAAACACTGATCAAAACAGTGCAAAAGAAGTAGCCGTAACAAAATCTGCCGTAGGATTATTGCAGGCTAGGTTTGGTTTCGAACCACGAAGTGCGCCTGCTGAAAATATACCAGAAACGTCCTCCAAAAGCAATGCGGGCTTTTGCAGTATGTTTGAATCGGATAATACGGAAGATTTCGATTTTTTGAATTTTGATATATGATTTATTTAAATACTGGTGCCTTACTTTAAAATAAGTTCAAAATACATTAACAGTTCATTCGTTTATTTTTTTTGCTTAGGTAAAAATCGATCAAGAACATTTGCTGGCTTCGATTTTTCCTTTTGCTCGTTTTTGCTTTCGTTGAGCAATTCGGCTTTAAAACTTTTGGCAGCTTTTACAAATTCCTAAAACGAAGTTTTAAAAAAATGACCGCCGAGAAACCACCGAGGATTACCTTTTTCGCCTGCTCCTGTAATATCTTCTTGTTTCTTGCTATCTTGACCGATCCGCCTTTTCCTTTCGCTTTTCTCCGTGGATCGTAATTTATCTTTGGCGGTTTCACAAACTAAAAATATCAATAGTGATTGGTTCCCGGACGATGACAACCTACCAATAGCTTTTTAGTAGCTTCGACTTTCTCACGTAAGCTCGGAACATCCACTTCGGATATTTTCGTAGGATCTAAAGATATCAAGTCGGATGGAATCTAGAAACGTGTGCGAATTAAAACATCAATCTGAAAACGAAGAGCTTCACCTTTTCCAATAAAGCCTTGACTTCGGATTCTTTTCGTTGGGATTTTGTTTGGTATGGATTCGCTTCGAAAGCGTCAAAGTTCGCTTCGCCTGCTCCCGGTACCAGTATGCTTGTAAATCCGTGACTTGAACCGACACCCAGCACATCCTCGTAAGGACAGAAATTCAGGTTTGCAATTGAATTATTAAACCTATGTCTTAAGTAACCCTTTTTTGCGGTTGTAACACAGCAATCGCTAAAATGACAATGGGTAGTATCATGTGATAGTAGTGTTTTGTTTCATTATTTAAGACTTGTCACGAAAGTTTATAAAAAATAGATTACGAATTATTTGTGGCAAGCTTGGTAGTATGACCTTACAGTATGGCCGCGGTACAGCAAAAAGTGCGGTGCTTAAAAAGCTACATACTTAGATGGCACTGCAAATATTAATTTAGTGTAAACCATATGCAGTGTCAATAATCACCTACAGATGTCTCTGAAAGCAGTTCATTTTCTTTTGTGACAATTTATCCTACAAATCGAAGATGTAGACATTCATTGCATACCCTTACTTACTTACTTGATATATAAATAGCTATTATGGGGACTCGCTTTGTTTATTTGTGCCTCGCTCGCAAGCTCGCTCGGCTAAATAAACGGCTCGTCCATAAAGACTTGATATATAAATAGCTATTAATTGACTGTTCAGTACACTGACGTTGGTAATATACTTCTTAAATTCCCTCAAAACTAATATCCCCCTCATGTTATGCATGTTTGGGAGTGATAAAGAAATTTCTTCATTAGCCATTTTTTTTTAAATGACAACATTTTTCAACGTCTCTTTAAAGCCCTCCAAACTACAGATCAAAATATTGAACCATTTCAGTAGTCGAGTGTTATTGGTTCCTTTATTTATATCAGATAATAACAAATTTTTTCAGTTTCCAAAAAAAAGGTTAAATGTTTGCAACACTAGAAAGAGAAAACATGACGCTTTTCAATAATGTATCGCATGACCCATGTTGTAATTTAAAAAAATTCAAGATGGCGGCCGCTCTCAAAATTGGGTAATGAAGAAATTTCAATTAACATATACAGGGTGTCCACGGATTGAGTACATATAACAAATTTGTTTAGAGGTGGATCTGAGTATCGCTCCTGCTTAGTCTCAAACTAAGATATTGAAAAAATGAGCCAAATCAATTAATATACAGGGTGTTATTTTGCCGAATTCTAAAAATTAGTCAAGAGTAAACTGTCTTAAAAAGAAAGTTGTTTGTAATTAAAAGTTATTAGTTTTAATTTCCATACAAATCAGCCTGCTTGGGTTTTGTTACTTTTGTTAATACATTTTTGTAATAATCGTTAAAATAAAAACCGTTTACTCTTGACTAACTTTTAGAGTTCGGCAAAAAACACCCTGTATATTGACGTTATTTGATTTGTCTTTTTAGCCAACCGCAACAGAGATCAAACTTTTCTTTTTGTGCAAGTTCAGATTCTCGATATACCTACATTATCAATGTGCATTTATAACTGTTGTTGATTTCCTGTTACTGTTAGGTGTTATGAGGCTGTTCCGAAAAGGACACTAACAAAAATGAAAAAAAAGTATGATGTCCTATGTCTACTATTACATGATAAAGTCTCCTGAAAGACGCCTGATTTTATGCAACCAAAGTAACTAAATACAACCAAATGAGGATCTGCTTGTCATATTAATTAATTTGAATATTATCGCTTTGACTTCCGTATTCTAATTTCGGTTCGTGTGCGATGTATTCAACTAACGAAAAGGTTGCTATTTCCAATTGGTATAGTGCCGATAACAGTTAAAGGAGCTTAAGAGATTTATTTTCTGTGAAACCAAAGCAACATTATTCCAATTAATAATTCATATGACAGATCTTTGTTTCAAGAAGTTATTTTGGTTGCATAAAATTAGGCGTCTTTCAGGAGACTTTTTATCATTTGAAAGCAGTTGGTTTTAAAATTGCTAGACCATACTGTAAGATGTCTATGCAATGGTATGACTATTAACTTAAATCTCAACCTGTGGTGCAAGTATGATAAATTAGCGATACAGTCATGAGCAATGATTTCCCATTATTTAAACAGTATAAGTACCGATAAACTTCAAGTATGTTTCCCATACCAACGGCGAGCATTTGCTTTTGTGAGAAAGCAACATTGTTCGCTGTGGATTTCAAGTTGTAAATTTGTAGAGGCCCCGTCAAACTTCTTATGTCCCAAATTTTTAGTGTGCGATCATTTCCAGCCGTGGCCATATACCTATAGACAAATGAGAGGTTTAAGGTACTTTTAGTGCATTCAACATACAGTCCTTTGGGGTCTATGTGTAAAGCAGAAATGGCACTTTTATGACAAAGCATTTTTGCTAACGGATCTCTGCTGTTTGGTGCCCACATGCTGACAACTCCTTTAGAACTTCCCACACATATTGCTGCATTGTACGGATTCTGCGTCATCATGTTTATTCTTCCGAGCTTGGCGTTGTATTGAACCACAATCTCTCCAATCGACACATCCAACCAACTCAAAAAGCCAGTATCATTCTAAAATGTAATGACCACAATTTTTGGCAACGATCATAATTATATCTTACAGCAGTAGCCAAAAGGAAATGATAAGGTAAGAACTGCATTTGCGTAACCTTATCTAAGCTCTTTAAACAATGCAGCTCGATTCCTTGATTGTCGTAAATGTACACCCAATCCTTTTGCGCTACGGCCAACATCGTTTCGATATGCAACCAACACACATCGTGCACGGACTCCATCACGTTTATCTCAAAATGTAACTTCTTCGTAACCCAATCAAATGCCGCGACGTGTCCCAATCGTCCACCTAAAGCCAAATGTCGCCCATTTCGAGTGTAACTCGCACGGTAAGGCCCAAAATCACGCAGTTGTAACTCAAAAAACTTCGTCGCCGCGGTTATATCCACATTTTGGACAATTTCATTTTGCCTAAACTGTGTCGTGGTCTCTCCGGGATCTGCTTCTAAAATACTATCGCACGTTATCGCAAAGAAAATGGTTAGTTAACTCACCCGTCCTCCTCCGTCAGTAATATTTCCACACGAGCCGCTTGCTTCTGTGCGAATTCGTACGATAAGTCCTTGTCAAATTGTCTTTTCTTGTGTATTTTCGTTCGTATTCCATCTTTCTGTATACCTTCTCCTCGACTGTGCTTTTCGAGCAATTCCTCTGGGATTGGCGCTCGACCTGGGAATTTTGGGTTTGGGTTTGGTTTTCGTTTTAAAATGATATCCGTCTTCTTCGGTTTTCCTTTTGGAAACGCTGGTTTCTTATTTTTCAGCCGTCCCACATTGCCTTTCCTTTTTTGTGAGGTTTTCTCCTCTGCATTGGGTTTTTGCTCCTCCGATGGTGCAGTAAAATATCTTGCGGTCTACAAAACAAAGTAAATATGATAAAGAATAATTTAGTAATATTACTTTGGTCATTTTTATTTTAATTAAGTTTATTTCATGAAAAAAATGTTAGGTTATTCGCTATGAGGTTATGTTTACAAAATTTCGAGGCACGTGTTTGATTACAATCCCATTTAATAAAATTCCCATTTATTAAATACTTCACTGCTTCAAACGTACAGTGTGCTTACAAAATACGAACTTCGTAATACCATTGGTTATAAAATGCATAATCAATGGAAATGCTTTAAAGGTATTGTGTATTTGTTGTAGAATACACCCTACATAACTTAAAGGAAATAGTTGCCATCTCTTTGGTAACCCTTTCTATGCATTATGTTACGATTACCGTGAAACAAAATTTAAAAAAAAACCATGTATTGTGCAGGATAATCTCGTGTAATTGGTAAAGGCATATATACAAAATAAAATATCAAATTATGCAAAGTAAAGATACACTTGTATACTTTGTTTAATAAATGGGAAAATAGGCATGTGGGTTTTTGAATTTTTGGGAAATATAACCTAAAAATTTCTGAATTGGAAAACAATCAGGAGAAAAGAATCGTCACATATAAAAAGAATGCCTTTAACTGCAAAACACTTGCTAATAACAGGCCCGCCAGGTTAACACATTTTTGTTTGGCAATTTTTTGAACCGTTTGTACAGGTATAGGAAAAACCACCCTCATACAAAAGATACACGTAAAGTTAAAGGAACGGGGAATTCCTGTAATTGGCTTTTATACTGAAGAACTACGAAATCAATTCAAGAGGCGTGAAGGTTTCGATGTGGTGACTTTAGATGGAAAACGCGGGAGGTTGGCCAGAACATCGTAAGTCTGTGGGATAATTTTCTCGAGTTTAAATGATCACCTTTAAGAGAGCGTGTGCTAGCCGACGATCCTCGAACGTGCAGAGTCGGACAGTATTATGTTTTTCCCGATGAGTTTGAAAATTTGGTTCTTCCAATGTTCAAAGATGTAACACTCGGAGTGGCTTAAATTACACATTTGTTTACTCTTTTGAGTTTAAAGGTGAAGGAGACGGTGTTGGTGATTGATGAGATTGGAAAAATGGAGTTATTTAGTAAGAAATTTGCGCAAGAGGTTCGAAATGTATTTCAAAGGACAGATTTATGTATTTTAGCGACTGTTCCTATTAAAAGTGGAGGATTGCCACTTATTGAATTCTTAACTTCGAATAACAAAGTTCTCACAGTAAGTAGGGACTCGCTGAACACTTTTTGTTAATGCACTAATTCTTCTACAGGTTTCTCAAGATAATCGCAATACATTATTGAATGAGATATGTGATGTTCTGGAGCAGTCTATGGTTTCATAGATTTTTAGTATTACCAATATTTAATGTAATATACTTATTATAAAATTGAAATAAACAAGTAAATATTATATGATATAAATAAGCAATGATTTTTGTCTTGCTTGCAAGCACAATGAAACTAATTATTGACGCCAAACCTATAGTCGCATACCCCTCTAGTTTAATTAATTGTTCAGGTCGTTTTTCAACAAAATAACAGAGCCCTCTTTGCACTAAATTCGGGCTAACTAAAAACGTCTGAAATCTACGAAAAAATTGAGTAATTAGATGGACTGCGAAAAAACTGATTAGGGCGATGAGGCTCACATACGACTAATGTGTCTGAATAAACCAAAATTTAAGTTTTAAGGTTTCCCAGTTTTCTCAAGCTGCTATTCTCTTTAAGACCAGGCTGTAAACTAGCTCTCGTTAAGTTTTTTCAGGGAGTGTGGCAATTGGCAAAGAAACTAGACTAACTTTGGGGGGGTTACAGCCCGGTGTACATTATAAAGCCCATTCCAAAAGACAATCCAATTTGTATACCAATCTCTTTTCCTTAGCATTCCCGTTCTACTAACTTGAAAATTTTCTGACCGAAACCAATTTCGAGAAAAACTCAATGAGCTGTAACTTTTGAACTAGTAGCCCAATCTTCAAACTGTTTGAAATTATGGATTCTACACGCCAAATTCTATACGGGCCTGTAGAATCCATAATTTCAAACAGTTCGAAGATTGGGCTACTAGTTCAAAAGTTACAGCCCTTTGAATTTTCTTTCGAAATTGGTTTCTAGTCTATAATTTTTGATTGAGAAGTCTGATCGAAAAAGTACGAATTGTTTTGGATTCTACGCACCAAAATTAATAAGAAAAAGTGTTTTCCCGAGAAATTTTAGTGTAGTCGATTTTTGGTAAAAAAGGAAGGTTATACACTGCCTTTTTTTGAGCCACGAAGAAAAAATTGTCTCAGATCGGTTGGGAAAAAAAATTTTCTTATAGAATGTGCCCTGTAGAATCCATAATTTCAAACAGTTCGAAGATTGGGGTACTAGTTCAAAAGTTACAGCCCTTTGAATTTGCTTTCGAAATTGGTTTCTAGTCTATAACTTTTGATTGAGAAGTCTAATCGAAAAAGTACGAATTCTTTTGTCTACGCCCCAAAATGAATAAGGATATGTGTTTTCCCGAGAAATTTTGGTGTAGTCGATTTTTGGTAAAAAAGGAAGGTTTATACACTGCCTTTTTTTGAGCCACGAAGAAAAAATTGTATCAGATCGACCGGGAAAAAAATTTTCTAATAGAATGTGCCCTGTAGAATCCATAATTTCAAACAGTTCGAAGATTGGGCTACTAGTTCAAGAGTTACAGCCCTTTGAATTTTCTTTCGAAATTGGTTTCTAGTCTATAGCTTTTGATTGAGATGTCTAATCGAAAAAGTACGAATTGTTTTGGATTCTACGCCCCAAAATTAATAAGATAAAGTGTTTTCCCGAGAAATTTTGGTGTAGTCGATTTTTGGTAAAAAAAGGAAGATTATACACTGCCTTTTTAAGGGCCATGAAGAAAAAATTGTCTCAGATCGGTTGGGAAAAAAATTTTCTTATAGAATGTGCCCTGTAGAATCCATAATTTCAAACAGTTCGAAGATTGGGCTACTAGTTCAAAAGTTACAGCTCTTAGAATTTTCTTTGTAAATTGGTTTCTAGTCTATAGCTTTTGATTGAGATGTCTAATCGAAAAAGTACGAATTGTTTTGGATTCTACGCCCCAAAATTAATAAGATAAAGTGTTTTCCCGAGAAATTTTGGTGTAGTCGATTTTTGGTAAAAAAAGGAAGATCGAAGATTTGTCTCAGATCGCTTATAGAATGTGCCCTGTAGAATCCATAATTTCAAACAGTTCGAAGATTGGGCTACTAGCAAAAGTTACAGCTTTAGAATTTTCTTTGTAAATTGGTTTCTAGTCTATAGCTTTTGATTGAGATGTCTAATCGAAAAAGTACGAATTGTTTTGGATTCTACGCCCAAAATTAATAAGAAAAAGTGTTTTCCCGAGAAATTTTGGTGTAGTCGATTTTTGGTAAAAAAGGAAGGTTATACTCTGCCTTTTTTTGAGCCACGAAGAAAAAATTGTCTCAGATCGGTTGGGAAAAAAAATTTTCTTATAGAATGTGCCCTGTAGAATCCATAATTTCAAACAGTTCGAAGATTGGGCTACTAGTTCAAAAGTTACAGCCCTTTGAATTTTCTTTCGAAATAGGATTTAGGAAGAGAGAAGGTATGTTGATACATTCTTTACTTTGATAGTAAAACTTATACAAAACTTGTTATGATTATCTGAACAATACAGTATAACAAGGTTTTTATTTATGCGAAATACTTGGTAACATTTAAAAATAATAGGCATGAAAAATTGTTCACCCATAATCCCAATAAATGAGCACGCGGATGTGCTCGCGTAACAGAAGGGACACTTACAACCTATTAAAATGTAAATATGTATTTGTTGTCTTTAATAACTATACATTTGTTTTATTTATTATAATTAATTAATAACTATGGTCCATGTTATTAGTGTAATTTGTTTAGTGGCTTATTAAAATGAAGTGATAGATTTTATTGTAACATGTATTTACATCAGAGCAATCAACCAACCAACGCAGTTGATTGATCAATTAACAATAATACATTGCATGTAGAGATCTAAATTGATAGATTTATGCTTCTATTTTTACGTATTAACATTATAAATTTACATAAAGTTTGCGTACGTTAAGTGTGGTTGATTAGGTACATTCACACCATATAATTTTTCAAAAACAACGTATTTGGTCATTCCATTATTAAAGTACATAAGAAAACTTCTTAAACAAAGTTTATCAACAGCACAGCTAATGAATGAATAACAATTACCTATACGTTTATAACTCTTAGAATCTTAAAAATTAGTAACAAATTTTAAATTGTGATAGAATCAAAGAGCACCGAAATGGATATGAATATACGATTAATACAATAAAACCAACGTATTACATTACATATCAACGTTTTAGAATTTTTGTAGCAAAAACTTTTAATCCGTAAACATCCAGTGTAGAAAAATTAATAGTAAAGGGTCTGACAGTCACCATATATACCACAATGGAAGATCGTGATTGATACTAAATGTATCGGTTATCGAAATGTAAGGAAACACTAGTGCCTACTCAAGATTTTTCAAATGTTTGTTACTTTTCTTGTAATAATACAGTTTAGATGAAGCTCGAATTATTTACAAAGTATAAAAATGCATGCCTAAAGTAATAATAAAAAAAGTACATAGACTTACATATTGTCAACTTGTAATGTATGTGGTCACGATATTAAATGGTATTTCTTCAAAAATGTGCAATAAAATAAGTCCTTCAGGGCTGCTGGTACATGCTTTCTGAAATTCGGCACATATAGCACAACACAGATACACATATACATACTATACTTCAATATCACAGTAAAGAAAGTAATGATTATTTATAGGTAAAATTTACATTTTTTATAAGCACGAAGTATTTTAGAAAAAAGAAGTATAAGGCGTAACTCTTTTGTGGCAGAAGAGTATAATATTTTCAAACAGCACGACTCACATAAAAATTAAAACGAAAAATGTGCGGAAGAATGTTAGGAAAAGTCCAATTGTATTTATAAATTTTTTTATACATAGATTTAAGAGAATGTTACTGTACAATCAGGAATCCAAATTCTCTCATGCATATAAAAATATCTATGATATTTATTACTCAGTTTTCTTACGCTATTTGAATCACATTTTCAAGTACAAATACATGAGAGAAATCCTAACTCTTGTTTATGCATTTTATTGCATCTTTTTTTTCTAAATTAAACGTTCGTGAATCGCCCAGTTTTTATGCAATGAATCTTATTTACATTAACATTTATTGTTTCTGAAGTATGGTTTAGGAGGCACATTGAATATTACATACTGTTGATGTAAATGTAGACTGTCTGATAACCAGTCAGTATAGGACGGTCCATTACTTTTTTATGTGTTTATGCACTAATTTCCATTGTTTTAGAGATGAGAGTAATGAACACAGCTCTATTTTTGTTTTTAAACCTCGGTCACCAAATTGTAACATGACAGAAGCTAATGAAGTGCACGACATTCTCCGTTGTCATCTGCGAGTTTCACTGATTTGGCAGCGGATTTTCTTGTCTAATGTCGGACTTCAGCTTTACAAACTCCTTCGCGACCTCGTCGTTGCTCCTCTGGGACAGAATACGCAGGATGGTCCAACCCGTTTCGTCCATCTGAATTCGTTTGCCGAGCGAAAGCCAACATGCGCATGAACCCTGAAAGCATATTTTCAATTTAAGCCAGTTCTCGATGAAATGTTAAAAAAAGGCCATCAAAATTGTTACATAAATAAGTAGGTAACAATTTTTGATCAAAATTCGCGTGATCATACAATATGTGTAAAATTCACATCTAGAGCATCCACCAAAATCGATTTACAAATATCGATTTTGTAGTTAGGTACCCAATGCATAAAGGACGAAGTATATTGCTGTGTAAACAATGTCAGTTTGGGACGTTGTAGTTTGTGTGGAGACATTTGGAATGAATTCGGGTGTTTTTCTCTAATCAATGTCGTGGGTCTAATTACGTTTTAACACAAAACAATTTTGCGATTTGAGTTAGTAATCAAGGTCTTGTTTGTTTACTTTCTTTTTAAACAATGGTGTATTTCTTGGAATGTTTGTACCTCAATTTTATTTGTTATCAATGTGCTAATTTTGTTTTAGATTTTTTTCGATGCGACCGCTGCCATTTGCTGAACTCGTCCGACCGGGGGCAAGGCCGTGTCCCTTGGTGGAGCACGAGTCCGTCCGTCCGTCCGTCCGTTCCGCCGACATTACATCCAGGTTGCCGCCGACTGCCGCTACTTTCGTCCGCTGACATAATTTACTTACAATAATTTGTAAATTTATTTATTTTTCTTGTAATTAAATTGTAATCCTTATTCCGCTAATTATATTAGGTATATAACTTTCGTGCCATTTGTTATTTGTGAAGTTCGTCGCAAAAGATCATTCAAAAATTAACCCTATAAAGGTCTCTAAGTGCTTTAAGAGCATTCGAAATTCTTTCAAGAGTCTCCAAAGGTTCTCAGGAGTCTTAGAGTCAAAGGATCTTGCTTTGAGAACTTTTAATGGGTCCTTAAGAGGCTTTAAACATTTTTAATACACTTAAAATTATTTAATAGACTTCCCTTGATAAACCTTTTTGAGTTTTTATATGAAGTTTAAGAGTCTCCCAAAGGCCTTTACTTTTTGGAGATTCGCTCATCTTTGCAAGACCGAAAAATTGATAGGTGGTTTTAAGAGTTGTTAAGAGCCCTTAAGAGAGCAAAAATGTCCGCCGTTGGGCATTTTCCTCAGATGATCAACATATGAGGTCAAAGTTCTATTTTGAGTTTTCTTCATTTCCACCACAACGGTAATGACCATAAATTCTTTAATTAAACTTACCCTATCTACGATATCTTTGAGCTGCATCACCGCCACACCAACCAATCGATCTTCTCGAGCGAAACAATAATCCTTCACGCAGATGTGCAATTCAAAAAAGTCCAGCTGCTCTTCATTCCCAATTATACTAAAACGAACGGATGAGCCGCAATTGCTCAAAGTTAAACAAATACGTACAAGTGAAACGTTTCATTGTACTTCGGCGACCAATTGTTTGCCTTGGACTTGGTCGCATGTTTTCGTTTCTTGTCAGATAAGTGGGGCCCAATAAGGTTCACCTCGACAAACGGCCTGAACATTCCCGACACTAAGTTCCATTTGAGATCGTTCGCCGCGACCACTGTAACTATACTGTAATATGCGATCGAGACAAGACAGGTAACTACCTTTTACTGTAACTTTGTGTTCTCCCGTACCCGGATGTGTAAATAAGTCCACCTGAATTGAAACTTCACCCACGCTTCCTTCTTGCGACTCCAGTGTATCTAAAAGTAGTTGATACAGTGTTAGTATGGATTTCAATAGGAACCATGGAGCTATACGCATTAATTACATGAGGAAGCAAATGAGGCAGTGACTCATTATAGCTTACCTGTATACCTATCTAGATTGTAATGCGCTAACTAACGGGTAACCATGCAGTAAGAAGAAATGTGTAATTCGTAAGCAAGCAGTAGTACAATTTTGACGCCTACCATGAATTTATGTGAGTACCTACCTTCTGAGACTATGGTTTGCACCATGCATTACTTTTATTAGATACAGTTATGACATAGTTATTATTGCATCAAATTCAACTTAGGTATGTCTTTATTATATTATTATAGATATAATTATATATTATAGGTATTAAATAGTTATGTTTGAGCTGATTTCCGTTTAAAAGAGGTTCGGCTGTGGTGGACTGTGTTATTACAAGAGGTAATAAAATAATTAAAATTTAATTTAGCTATTTAGAACTAAACTTTGTATAAAATAATTTACTTCAAAAATGTTTTAGTTTTTAAAATATTAGCAATTCAATATTTTTTTTATTGTAAACCTGGCGAGAAAAAATCAAGTACTAAAAAAATAGTCTGTATTCGTCGTGGGACATCCTGTATAGTAGTTTTGATCATTCAATTGCTTTACCACACAAATTTCATCATTTATATGCTTTGTGTTGACTTTGCATACTAATACAAATGATTTTTTTCTTAAGAGTGTGGTGAAACCGTTAGGCCAAATGTAAGTGAAAGTAAAAGAAAAATAAAGACAACCTTGTCAATTTATTTTATCACAACCCAATTTAAATACCAATTTATAGTGAATAAAATTTATTTTTCCAACGTTAACATTTTATTCTCTTTGTATGGTACTTTTAAATTACTGTTGTGTGTTTTTCATAACGCGTATAGACTATGTGGCCAATCCCAATCCCAATATTTAGAAATAAAGAGGTTTTAGTTATTTGGGATAGTTTAATATGTAATTTGTTGTATTGATTTATTTCCAAATTTTTTTTGTATTTTTAACTTTTAAATATCTATTTTGTACCTACATATATTTTTAGCTTCCTAGCATGTGCTAGGTAGCTATTGCGATAGCCGTTTTTTGAACATTTCAAAATTTCATCAAATGTCGACGTTTTAGATCATTTTAAGCAACTTTTAAAGAATAAATTTTTCCAGTCTGTAAGTGCGTACATATGTTGGCAATTTTTGGTTTCAGCTAGGAAGCTATTCTGTCAAGAATTTGACACCTGGTTTTATCTATATTTTACATATTTTGTTACTATTTTATATTTATTTTGTTCAAATTATTAGAATATTTAGTGTTACGAAAGTATGTATTTTATTTGTGTTTTCTATTTGTGAAATATATGTTTGGAATGAATTAAATATGTTTTTAATAGAAGAAAAAAATCAATAGGTGAAAAAGGTTCTTAGAATGTATTTCAACGTTCTTTATAGGTACATCTGGTGGCTCACATTTAGTATCTATTATACAGGGTGATTTTTTTCACTTCCACCATAGGGATCTCGTAAACCGTAAGAGATAAAGGGAAAAGTTATGCAGAATTTATGCTGATTAATTATCCTATTCAGAATGCATTCTAGTTCTACAAATAGCAAAGTTACGGCCAAAAAAACGGAAAAATGCCATTTTCGAAAATGCGTCGGCGTTCATTTATTTTCAAAGATATCAAAAAATACTTTTTTCTACAACTGTCAAAAAAACGTGTCATTTTCTGACGGATTTCGAAACGCGAAGTACTAGATTTTTAAACGGTTAATTAATAGGTAAGGTTGCTATTGACAACGTGCGCGAAATCGTCAACAGTGAAAAAAAGTATTTCGCGCACGGGAAAAAGTTGAACTTAAACAGCAATTTAATTAACAATCGGTTCAGTTGTAGAAAAAATATTGTATATAACGCTAGCGCGAAGTTATTTCGCGCATTTGACTGATATTTTAACTCGGCTTCGCCTCGTCAAAATACCTTCAGTCTCAATGCGCGAAATTGAACTTCGCGCTCTTGTTATATAAATAACTATTTTCTACAACTGTCAAAAAAACCTGTCATTTTCTGACGAATTTCGAAACGCGAAGTACTAGATTTTTAAACGGTTAATTAGTAAGTAAGGTTGCTCTTTACAACGTGCGCGAAATCGTCAACAGTGAAAAAAAGTATTTCGCGCACGTGACAAAATTGAACTTAAACAGCAAATTTAATTAACAATCGGTTCAGTTGTAGAAAAAATATTGTATATAACGCTAGCGCGAAGTTATTTCGCCCATTTGACTGATATTTTAACTCGGCTTCGCCTCGTCAAAATACCTTCAGTCTCAATGCGCGAAATTGAACTTCGCGCTCTTGTTATATAAATAACTATTAACCAACGCTTACTGATTTTTTCTCAGCTTTCTAATGGTACTAAGATACAATTTTGATGACTTGTGGGTTTCCAGTAAATTACATAAACTTTCTTATTTTTTATAGACGCCCTATTGGATTTTGACGTTACTCGATAGAGAAAAAAATTACAAGATCGGCAATACCAAATACTTAGTATTTTATTTGAAAATTAATGTTAAATTTTTGCTTTGAAGCTTACAATGTATTTCTTATGGCAATAATTCCATGGCCGATTGTGATTGCAACCACATTCATTTGTTTATTGCCTAGCATAGTAGCCATCAACATGGCTATGGAATTATTGCCACAAGAAATGCATTGTAAAACAAGGCAAAAATGCAAGGTTGATTCCCAAATAAAATACTGAGTGTTTAGTATCGGTCATTTTGTAATTTTTTCCTCTATCCAGTGCCATCAAAATCCAATATGGCGTCCATAAGAAATAAGAAAGTTTATGTGATTTACTCGAAACCCACAAGTTATAAAAACTTTATTTTAGTAAAATCAGAAAGGTGAAAGAAGTATTTTTTGACATTTTGGAAAATAAATGAACGCCAACGCATTTTCGAAAATCCGTTTTTTGTCCAAAACTTCGCTATTTGTAGAGGTACTAGAAATTCTGAATAGGATAATTCATCAGCATAAAATTCTGCATAACTTTTTCCCATTTAACCAACTTCGTATCTCTTACGGTTTACGAGATCCCTATAGTGGAAGTGCAAAAAACTCACCCTGTATACAAGTTTGTGCTACTTGGTTTCCATTTTATATACCCAGATACCAAGTTTCTTCGAAATCGGAATCTTTTGGGTAACATTCCGAAAGTGTATACCCCAAAACCTAGGCAAAGCAGTTAATTTTATCCTCGTATGTGGTTGGCGAGGAAACAGATGAACAAGAAACGAACATGTCTTTGGACGAAGTGTCTCCTCTACCACCTAATTGTTTTCTACGATGTATTACACCCTGTATATCGAATGTTCCCATTTCTCCAATAAAATTCAATACGTCAAAAGTTTTGTTATAAAACTTACTTAATCAAAAATCCACATTTCCGAAAAATCTGGCTTTATAGTTCAGTGGTAGAGCGTTGGACTATAAATCCGAAGGTCGGGTGTTCGAACCTGGGTTGAGGTGAATTTTTTCTGCAGTTTCCCTAATTCGTAAGGTAAATACCGGAGTAGTATAGAACAACTTAAGACCTTCTGCAGAGACACCTCTAAAAAAAGCATTATGCGGGTCACTCTGTAATTGGATGTAAGCCTGTTGAGGGCCTAAAACAAGAGAGGGGTAATAAATAAAAATTAAAAAGTTTGTACATAAGAGTTTTTTTATGAGAAGATTCTCTGTCTTTTACATATAATGCCTGGTCTTTTTTGGGATAAAACAGTGATAAATTGTTTGTTGTAAGGGAAGCGAAACGGACCCAGTATTTTTCGGATTAATTGGGTTCAGAAAATGTAAGGAATTCTTGTCAAATTTCTCCATTTTGAAAACCCCAAACTAGATTCTTTTTTTTTCTCTTTAACAATGGGTTTTTGTGGATCGTGTGAATCTCATTTCTATATCTACAGTGAACGGTTTTGTAAGAAGTGAACTGGAACGAAACGTTGCAACATTTTTAATTTTAGTGTCAAAAACAATTATAGGATGCTAGTTTCGAAGGTATATGTAACGAAATGATGAAACACTCGAATGTGAAAAGGCGGAACATGCCAGGGTGGGCCAGCGAGAGCAGATTTGAGATGTGACTGCCAAAGTTCGTGAAAGTGATTTACCGCCAGTTCATTCGGGTACGGAATTTAAGCCAAGAAATGGGTACCGACAAAGGGAAAGTGGTCGGTTTCGAGAAGACATTTCCATCTGGGTAGTCAAAACTTCCACTACACATTCTTTGAAACGGAAAGATCGAAGAAGTACCAACAAAGAAAAAACCATAGGTTTGGGGGAGACGCTGTCTAGAAGGGTGGAAACTTTAAACGTGAATAATAATAATGGAAAATTGTAGGTCTTTTCGAGACCCATTCAACGATACCTCATTGGTTCCTGCGACTGAGATGTCTTAAAACTCGAGAACCGAGCGTCGGAAGTGAGTCTCAAAGGGACAATAATAGATATACATTTCACCGGAAGGGTCAAAACTTTAAACACGAATATACGAAGGGAGCGTCGGAAGTGGGTATCCAACCATCGAGACGAATCCCCCGTTCCAATCAGACCATAGGTCACAGAGATCTCTTAAAACTCGCAAACGGACCATCGGAAGTGGGTATTCACAAAGAGACAATAATAAATATCGACAAGACGTTTTCATCGGAGGGGTCAAAACTTTAAATGTGAATAAATAAAACTGGGTTTATGTACCGTGTGTCCTATTTTGATTGACATGTATTTCAGTTGTTCTGAATGATAAAGACTACGCCTACTTAATTAGAAATATATTCAAGTAGTCAATATATGATTTCATTGTATTTCCCTTATTTTTAAATTATATTGCAGGTATAAATTAAACTCGTTTAATTATACACTTGTCTCTTAATATACTATTTCCGCAGTGAAATAGATTTTACAAAAAATTAATGATAATTTTCAACAACTGATATGGATTTGAATGGACTTGAATCACTTTTGAATCTGCTTTTTGTCTTACTAGTCATAGCTTAACATGATTTTACTAATTAGATTTATTACCGAATTTTTGATAAAATAATGAGAAATACAACTGAAAATGAACTACCTAATTGGTATATCATTAGACGACGACAATAAAATCTTTCGAACGGTGTCAGTGTAAAGCTTTCAAGTTAACATGGAGAGCAATAATCTGCAAAAAACATTTGTTACCATGTTAATTGCCCGCATGTTCGTTTTTGGACTATTCACCCGATATATAATTATATAAAAAAATATATGTCACTCTAATCAGGAAAAAGAATACAAAAATTAAAGTTAAAGATATACAGGGTGTGTAAAAAATACCAACTTGGAATCTACGTAAAAATATCTAAAATAGGCAGTTTTTACTTTTTTTGTAGTAGTAAGATGATAAAAAAGTTTCCCAAAAAAGTGGCTCAGGGTCGCGAAAACTGCAAGAAAACAACCAAAATATGAAACACGGTACAACTTGGAAATCCCTTCTCATTGGTTCCTAGGTCGTTGTTGGACGACACCCCCGCATTTCCTTATCACCTATCAGATTCAATTTCAAATCTTTCTACTCTAAAATACGAATGCAATTTAGCTTATGCCTCCCTTAAACTAGTGCTTTCTTATTGAGACTGTAAGGTTCGGAGTGGATAATTTGGGGACGCGGGCGCTCGAGATTTAGGTCATTTTCGGTTCCCTACATTTCTTCCGATTCTAACATCAGAGGTACCGTCCCGAATGAAGACCAAAAATGTCTCCTACAGCGGGAGATCGACATTATGACAACCTAACCAGAAATGGGTACTTCTTGTAGGGGTTTCCAAAACAAACTCTTTGTCTACATTTTCCTCAATTCGTATGGGTAATAGAAAAATTAAATTTTATGATTAATACCCAAAAAATGCAAAGCGTCTTTCCCACTTTTCAGGTGCTGAGAAGGGGAGTACAAAATAAGAAATTCTAATGGAAAATTTTTGGGGCGCTGATTCTAAATCACTCTATAGGAGGTTCTACATTACCATACTGCTTCAGCAGTACGATCTTTATCGTTGGACGGACGAAACACTGGCAGACATAAATTTCGAATAATATACGCCATGTTATCAGATATGAATTTTGATGCAATAATTTACGTTACTTTTTAAAATGACCAAGTTATGTCAGGCGAAAACAATAATGAAGTTGTAACTAACGAATCTATGCTACAGCATTATCTAAACTAGTTTTACGCTACTTTCTTGCAGAATGATTTTGACCGCTGCGTATGTGCGATAGATGTAGATTATATTTATAATCGAAACTAATAAATTAGCATTAAGATTTTCGGCTGCGATTTGCCAATACCTTGACGACTTTCTCGCCTTTTCTTTGCTTTCAAAGGTTCTTCCAACGCTTCGAGTCCCGTCTCTGTATCTTCACGATCAATAGAGATTGAGATTTGACGTTGTAGCATAGTTTCTTTATCGTTTAGAGGCACTTTTGAGACGAATTCAAAATGTTTGTTAAAATTGTGTTTTTTCATGTAAATAAAAGATTATGTAACTTAAGACATATTAGCACAGATATTACGTAAAGCGACATAGATACACATACAGGGAGTTACAAATCGAAAGGGCTTACCTTCATTTATTTGTGACGTAACGAAAGTTTTGATTAGCGTGTCGGTTGTTTGCGTATACAGAGATAAGGCGTAACGTAGACTCTGCAACTCCGCACTTTTGTCCAAAAACGCCTTTTTGAGACCGTTTCCTCCAGCGTGGAAGTATTGCTTGATGGTATCCAAGGCAACGTCTAACACCGCGCACTGCTTGGGTGACAGATTCTTCTCCACTTCCTTTGATATGTCCATAACACCACTCAGCGCGTTTTTAACGTCTTGTTTCCCCGTCATATGATTTTTGAACAGCCTAGACATGTCTTCAATTTTCGTGTTGGCCGCCAAATTTTTGGCATTATCAGTCAAACTCTTAAACACCATCTGTAACCTTTTCATTAAAGAGAAAAATAAGACACGACACAAATCTTACCGTTTTATCAGTCATTGGAGGCAACACTACAGTCTTTTCCAAAATTCGCATCACAATCTTCCACAGTTCCTTGAGTAGTCTCTTCAGAACCGTTTTCTCACAGGATTGTGCGTAAAGGGATAACGAGCCGTCTAACAAATCCATGAGGGGTCTTAGTACGTCATCGGCTTCAACGGCCACCGCGTTTCTTTGTGCAGGTTGATTTAACGTTCCGGGTTGGCCACCGCCTTTAATGGCCAACAGTAAATCACCCAATTCTTTAACGCTTTGCGTGATACGCGGCTCCAAACTGAAAAAAAATGTGCGTAAGAATCGAGAGAACTTTGCATTTCTATAACAAAAGGTTGCTTTGTGGTAGTTTACCTCGGTGGCGTTTTTGAAGCTCTTCTAAAAAAGTTTGGAGGCGGTCAGCTTCAATAACGTTTATTTAACCAATGAGTAGGTATAAAATAATTTTTGAAGCGAAAAAAATAACAATATGAAGGAATAGGTGAAATTGGGTTTTTAGGCATTTTTGGGGTTAGAATAATTTAAACATTGAGCATCATAGGTTTAAACATTTCTCTGTTGCAAAAAATTCAAAATGATGGATCGTGGTTTTGTTAGAATTAGAAAGAATAAATCGGTCAACTTGTAGCAAGGGATGTATTGCTGCGTTGTTTCTTAATTGCTCCGGAAATCGGTAGAGCCATAAAGTATGGATTTTGTATTGTATTTCATCTTTTATATTTGTGCTACTGAGCAGACATGGTAGCACTTAATATTATGGAAGTTGCAAAATGGGCAGACGATTTGTAACTGAGAATTGCCATATGCGCTCCTTTGAGTGAGCTTTTCGTCCGCCCGCTATGCTTATGTTATATATTCGCAATTAACCCTGCATAGCTACGAAGTATTTTGAATTACAACACAATTGAGGAGGTAAGAGAAAACCTAGGTCATAGAGGAGGTCAGGGTACAAAAATAGGCACGTTCCTTTTTGCTGACAACATTGGAATAGCGGAATAGTGAGCAAGGATTAATAGGAAGCAATATAAATAAAAGATCAAGAGATGAATACAACATTATATCTGTATTTCTCCATAGGAGTGAGACTTGGACCTTTGGCATATGAAGAATGAAATTGAGTCATTTGAATTGCGGTGTTACCGGAGGATGTTAATGGATTGGCAGGCTAACGAATAAAGAAGTGTTGAGAGGGATAGAGGCGACACCAAGCGTGCTGAAAACGAAAAGAAGACGACGACATAACTGGATAGGGCACACGACAGTTTGTTGGGCACCATCTTGGAAGAGTCCGCGGAAGAACGAATTTGCTAAGTCTCCAAAATATTATCCTCATTTTGTACCGATTCGTGCTCCAATCCACAAGCATTGTGCGTCGTTTTGAAGAAAAGAGAAATTTTCCTAACCACCAATATTCTCGTATCGACTCGACACTAATATCGTAGCTTTGTACTTGATATCTGCGCCGATACCAAGGTATTGGCTGCGTTTAGTTTGAAGCTTAACGGGACGCCCTTTATTCCCGGAATGCCTTATATGTAATTGTTTTGTGCTTGTTTCGTAAAGACTTATGTAGGAGTTGGGAGAGGGGAGGAGGAACTGGTTTTATGGTTTACTGGTACTTTAATGCAAGGTCTCAACGAAAGGAATTAATTCCTATTAACCACAGTCGTCCTCCTTGACTAGGGAATGCAATTCCTGAAATACCGGGATCCCGCAGCATTTTTGCGGGATTAATCCCGCACATAAATGGAGCGGGATCCCGCGGGATTTGCGGGACTGAGGAATTTGTCGACCAAGGGGACGACTCTGTTTACTTTGTTAATGAAACGCATAACGGAGAAGTTCTTTTTTAAATAATTATTAAACTTTTTCGTTAAATATGTACTATGATTTTTGAGGCACTTTAGAAGTTCACCTTTTTTTGAGCTCTAAGTTAGGCTGAAGGTACTTTTTTGTTAAATATTGTAATAATTAGCGGTTTATTTTAATACAGAAGTTAACCGCACAGAATTGCTTATTTGCCAATTTATTTAAAGTTTTGCGGGATCCCGCAAATACCGAGATCCCGCGGGATTAACATAGAACAATCCCGCAAATACCGGGATTGAGATTTTGCTGCCGGATTGCATTCCCTATCCTTGACCCTTGGTCGTGGTCTGTTATAAATATAATACTTCATAGGTCAAGAGCGGAGTGTCGCAAGGATGTACTTACAAAGGGCGATTGGAACACCCGGACGTTGGTGACGTCAAAACTTAAGTGCGAATATCTTGAAAACGGTGTGTCGGAGGATAGGTACTTCCAAACGAAAAATGAAGGAAATGAAATACTTATTGCTGAAACGAATATCTCGGGAAAAGTGTCGTATTTGCATTGGCCGTAGGAGTTGAAGATTGAAGCTAAAGGTAAATTTAATTTCTAGAAATGTGTTTCATTCGCCGCGATCGTAAACAACGCGGCAATTAATTCACTGTTTGTAACCGTTCCCGTCAAGATAATTCAATTGTCTTTGTTGCGCCCGAAAGCTCTTGTCATTTAGAAGACGACGGCGAATTAATGTTTTAGAATTTCAGCTCCGTTAAGTAATTACTTAGATGTTGGTTTCCTGTGGTAATTATAAAAGAGCATTAAAACTATAGGGGCGTTCAGGTTTGCGCCGTTATCAGGTTGATAAGCGACGTTTATGCCGACCTGAGGAATTCTAATGAACAATAGGTGTTAATTGGAGTACCGATTTTAGAAATTTCAATCCGGCCAATTAAGTAAGTGAAGTGATTAACAATAGCTATAGAAATGTGTGGGGTATCAAAAGAAGCGCTCTTAATTAATTTGAATTTTAAGATCAGATTTTTAGGACGCGCAATAAATTAAAGAAGTTGGATGTAGATAAACGAATATGCGGTCTCGGTTGGGAAACCCTTCATGCCATAGCCGAATATAAAAGGTAAACGCTTAATTTAGAGGGGGGTTCATTCCTTTAGGATTTCTGCTTTTCGCCGTTTTAAAAGTGGTATTCTATCTGATTATTTTTTGCTTTGATTGTTATTTTTTTTTTACTTCCGTAACCGTTATTTGGGAGGTAAGCATTTCTTTGGTTTCGTTGATTATAAGGGAGGAGGGGGATGTTTGTTATGTTTTATTTCCCGCTGTTAACCTTCCGTAGCAACCACTAATTACTATGCGTCGTCGTTCTTCTTTGAGAAATCGATGCCGTGCTATAGCTTTGTTTTTAGTTTTTCGGGCTTCCGATACAGTTGTTACCGCCACATCTGGTCCAGAAGCAAGAACATGTTCTTACCCCCAAATACTTGTCCAAGGGCAAGTTTGCATCCCTTGGTGGCGCCCGAGTTTCCGTACCACTACATGACATTTGCCTGTGGGGTCAACACAAATTTATTTGTATAGAGTTGTTCAAATTCGGGGCTCACCAATGGGATCTCCGTGACAGTGAGAGATACAATGTTAATGGGGGCAAAGTTTCCTCTTTTTGTGATGAAAAAACGCAATTTCCTAAGCGTAAACGGTCGGAAATGGACAGTGACACCTTCCATTGGCACTTTTTTCAAAAAATTTGAATCTGTTCTCAAAATTTCCATGACACGCTGGATGTAGAAGATACAAGTTACTACTTTCTTATTTTTTACGGACGCCATATTGGATTTTTACTTTCAATGATTTTTCAAAAATTTCAAATGCGGTTTTTTTAGTCACAAAAAGAGGCAACTTTGCCCTCATTTAACCTACACTGTATCTCATACTGTTACGGATTTCCCAATGATGAGAAACGAATTTGAACCATCCTGTACATATATTTAAATATTTGAATACTGTAGAGTTCAAGTATTTGAATCAAAGTTGGACTAAATATTCAAATAATAAGATAAATTGTTACACTCATTTTAGAAATTTTGAATTACTCCGAAAGGAAAGGCGCACAAAACCTGAATATTGGGGCACACAATAGCACAAAACAAGCACAAAACTATGGTATTGCTGTCGTGTGGATACGATAATGGTGGTGTCCTAGTACTACGTAGGACACCCAATGGAAAATTTTGATTTTCACGTAAACCAGTAGTTAATCTGTGCCAGAACTTAATCCAAGCCCAGTTAATGTGTATGGATTATGACCACACATTTTACAGGGTGTTCCTTAAAGACATGGTAATATTTAAGGGGGTGATTCTTGGACCGGCTCATGGACCGGCTCACTTAAAACGATTTTTATTTTTGTAAGCGAAAACCATGCGCCGGACAAAGAAAAACCAGAAGATCAAATTTGCTAAAAAATGAATGCACATTTAAAAAATGATTTTTAATTTAAGAGAAAGCAGTGGCGTAGTATTCCAAAAATATTCAATGCAAAAGCCATATGGACGCCACTGGCAGAGAAAATGAAAACTTTTGCACCTCAGATCTTAATGCATAGAAACCTGTACCAAATTTCATAAAGATGTAATAATAATAATAATAATATATTTACGGAATTCACCTGTTACATTAAATACCACAAAAAAAAACATGTTCTTAGCTAATTTAACATAAATTGATTTTCAACCTAATAAACCTTCGCTAAAAGACAATACAAATAGAAAACTAGAAATCACACAATAGAATAAAAACAAAAAATACTTAGTAATCAATATTACGTTTGAGCTTAATTTTATAAGCCTGAATTAAACAGATTAAACCACGGCAATTTCCAAAAATAGTTTGCATCGGACAAAATTCTTGTTAAAGGATTATTCCTAGACACATTGCTCGAAAATTGTTTAATTCTGAAGCCCGGTATATTTCTGGTGACGCATGTAGTCCTAGGAACATAAAAATCCACCAAACCAAGAATTTCAGGACAATCAATAGCACCATTTAGAAGTTTGTGTAAAAAACATAGGTCGGCAATGCGTCTCCGGTTTTCCAAGGAATGTAGGCTCAAATCCGATCTAATTGATGCGTAAGCTCCTTGGATATGTAGAATTCCAAGCTTATATTCCATTGTTCTAAGAAATTTCTTCAGTACTGTTTATAGCTTCTTACGATTTTGGTCAGTGAACGGAGACCACAATACCGATCCGTAGTCGGCATGGCATAGAACAATTGAACAGAAAAGTAGTTTCAAACATTGTACGTTCAAATCTTTAGCAATAAACCAAACAAGACCCCAACTGCGGATTAATTTATTGTAAGTAGCGTCAATGTGGGAATTGAAATTTAGTCGTCGATCGAAAATAACTCCTAAATCACTAATTTCAGATTTCTTTTGTAACAATTGATTGTCTAGGTAATAGTTAAATGTAATAGGGGATTTTATTCTATAAAACGACATTGCCGCACACTTTTATACATTCAATTGTAGTCTATTAGTTGCACACCACGAAGATATACGATTGAGATCTGACTGTAAATTAATGCAATCTAATTCAGATTGTATAGAGTGAAAAATTTTTAAATCATCCGCATACATTAAACAGTCACATTGTGCGATTACATCCACGATATCATTGATGAATAACAAAAATAAAACGGGCCCACAGTGGAAACCCTGGGGGACTCCAGACGTAGGCGTTATTTGTATAGACTGGAAGTTACCTACTCGGACAACTTGTCTTCTATCACTCAGAAATGAAGAAATCCAGTTTAGTGATAATCCTGTTATCCCTGTAATTCGAAGTTTGTCAATTAAAATCGAGATACTAATTTTGTCAAACGCCTTAGGAAAATCAGTATAAGTAACATCTACTTGTTTCTTTTCATCCAGGACTTTAGACAGAAATTGCTCGTAAACAAACAAATTGGTGATTGTGGATCTTCCCGAGACAAAACCGTGCTGTTTGGGAGAAATAATGTTTCTAGAAAACCAAGAAATTTGGCGCGCTACAATCTTATCAAGAAGTTTGGGTATCGCCGATTGAATACTAATTCCCCTATAATTATCAATTACACTACGATCACCAGATTTGAATATGGGATGTATGAAGCAAGTTTTCCATAAGCTAGGAAGTTTACCAGACCCTAAGGATTTACTAAAAAGAAGATGAATAGGATTGCAAAGCGAAAAATGCAACATCTTAAGAAACAATTTGGAATTTTATCCGGACCAGAGGTATAACTCATAGTAAGAGCTTGTATGGAATTAAAAACTTCTTCTACAGTTACTCTAAGACTTAGGGAATTACCATTAGAACACGAGGACGGCTGATAAGTAGGTATGTCTAAAATTGGGATCATTGTGTACATAAGTAGTTGAGAAAAATTTTGCAAAAAGATTAACCCTAGCTTGTCCATCCTCTACTGTTGTATCATTGTATTGCATTATACTAGGTACTGAACGCTGATTTCGAAAATCCCTAACATACTGCCAGAAGTACTTCGGATTTAAATTGATACGCGATTCAATAACGGCCAGCTAATTATTGTAGAGGGTTTCGCTTAACTGTTTGCATTCTGTCTACAACATTATCTCTGTTATTGTTAAAAAACTGATTTTTTTAATACTTTACCACCCTGTATCTCAAAAATTAAAACGTTTAGGACATACGTTCATAGGAAGTCTTTTTCTTAAAATTGGTCCCCCTTAAATATTAGCATGTCTTTAAGGAACACTCAGTATACTATTATGATTGAACATACCTGGACGCAAACTGCATGGCAAGCTCGTCCAACGCCGCGTTTAGATTCTGTTGTAACTCTTTGAGGATGTTCGCAGCGTCTTCTTCCAATTTTTCTCCGCCCATAGACTCGAACATCTTCTCTAATTGTACCCGTAATTGTTGAATATTATTCATTAAGATACACGCCTGCAATTGGATACAATATTAGCAATAATATGGTAAAGGGTATGCACTTACTATTCTTTCTTCCTTTAAGTGTTCCGGAAACTCTTTCTTAACTATATCGGCGTACGCTATTAGCACCTTAACGATAGTCTTTGCAAAACGTTTCATGTAACGTTTCCAAATTTCGGGATCCGGACATTCCAATTTTGAAACTACGTCGAAACACTGCGTCAGTTGAGTGAAAACGTCCACAACTGAATTCGAAAACAACGCGTGTTCACTACTTTTTTGAAACTAAAACGGAGAAAGCTTAGTGATCGGGAAGAGTCGAGGAGGGAGTTTACCCCGTCCTTTTTATCCCTGTTGAAGGCACCATGTAGGTATTCTAACGATACGTCATCGTTTTCATTTAACCACTGCATTACAAACGGTTCGAACCATGCAGGATATTCAGGCACAGCACCCTTATAAGGAGGCACATCTTTAACGTAATTTGTATGAAGCCACTTAACCTTGAAATGCAAGTTCATATATGCCGAAGATTTACACAGACGATGTTGCTCGTGCTCCTCCAACGCATACTTCATATCGACAGCAAACAGACTCCACATTGTCGCTGCCGATAGCTGTCCGATATTCAGCTCTTGAGGAAATTGATTCAGTACGGGACCGTAACTGTTCTTATCTTCTTCTATAACCGATACTATGAGCGCAATTAACTTGTGCCAAAAATCAACACTATCTAAACGAGGACCGTGATCCTCAGGATCGCGCTTAGGTTCGTTGGGATCACTTTGAAATTCTCTATTGTACAATTCGTAAGTGTTTTCAAAAAGAAACTGATATGTTGATCGCAGGCAAGCCTTAACGCAGTCTTTTACAACGGTACTGGCACGCGGCGGACTGGACAATTCTTGTACCTTCATCCGGAAGAATGTAATACTGGTTAAGAGATCTACGGTCGACTTAAGGTCCATAAGCTTCTCCTGACTAGATGCGGGGAAATTATTTCTGTACATCGATAAATCTATCCTTAACGAGTTGTGCAACTGATCCAAGAGTTTAACGAATTTCTCTTTCTGCAACAGAACAATTTCTAGTTTCAAAAGAGCAAAGCGAGGAGTGGCCTTACGCCGAAATTGGATGCGGCGAAGCGGTCACTAGCCGATACCGCCGACGAGGCCGTTGTGTGTGCGTAATAAGCGTTAATGTTGGCGAGGAGCATACTCATCACTGCCGGAACTCCGGGACACAGGTACTTAGTCGAAAGGCAATGGAAATGCCTGCGAAAATTCGTCAAATGGGTTACGTATCGCGGAATCACTTACGTCATGGCCTGATAGATCGATTCTATCCCGTATCGCATAGCAAACTCGTCTACGATTTCCTGAGCGGCTTCATCAAAATAAATCTTCCAGGCGTCATCCCCTTTCGCTTGAGGTAGACTAACAACACCACTATTCTGCTCGCATAAATAATGGAAGAGGTTTTCGTGTAGGCAGGTGTACTGGACGTGGTACGGCGCGACTTTCTCCTCGCCTTTAATTTCTACCGATATGTGTAAACGTATCGCGCCGGAAACGGCTGACTTGTCAGTTCGCTTCTCTAGATTGTACCAGACGTCCATCTCACCAGAGAGTGTGCGCACCTGCGACAGTCGAGTTAATCGATTGTTATAAAAGTGAAAAAAAGGTACCTCGATGATTGTTTGGCCCAAAAAGTCATCCGACTCTCTTGTCAACTTTTGGCGAAGTTTACTTTTGAGATCGTTATCTTCATCCCATACCCTTACTTTTATTCTGTCTGAGGAATTGTGGCATTCACTGCAAAATAGTATTAGTTGTGGGCGTTATGAACGCAATATCTACGGTTTCCCAAATAATTACTAAGGAATGTGTCTTGGAAAATATCTTTGTTGCAACAGTTGGCTTCAAAGACTCTCTTGGAAACTTGATTATGTACGCTTTTTCTACCAAAGATATGCCAAAATTATAGGGCGGGCTGGCAAAAGAAAATGTTCACGAAAATTGGAACAAGAAAAACTACACCGGAAAGACGTTCGGAAAGTAAAATTAAAAGATACCATAGCACCATTACCACATTGATAAGTGAAATCTTTGTGGATTAGAGCGAAAGCTACTTTCTTATACAGTAAAAGTGTCTCGACCATGGTTCAATCTATCATTAGAAAAATTGCTTGACTTCAGGGGTACAAGTATGAAATGCGGATTTGAAAAAATAAATGACGCATGCCAGTTTCTAGCTAGAATTACGGTGGTTTTATACTAACGGCGGCCATGTTTCCTGAGCTGATTGGTTTAACCGAATTGGTATGGTTACAATAATATTTTCGGACTTGATTCCAGCAAGGTGTCTGTATTACCTTGGTTTCCAGGTTGATTTCCACCAATCCGGTGTATCTGGAGGAAACATGGCGCAGCCAATAGACAGCATGACCAGTTGACCACCCTATGACGACACTGTTAGTATAAAGTCACAGAGACTCTATAGCGACAATGTGGTCATAGTACGGTGGTGTTATTTTCTATTGGTAGTTGGGAGATCCGCCATGTTTTGGAAAATTACATCGGATTGGTAGAAATTAACCTGGAAACCCAGGTGATGAATCGATTTTCCTGGACACAATTGTAACAGGATTATGATTCAATACATACAGGGTGGCCATTTGAAAACGAAACAGAGCCTATTTTGGGAACCTCAAAACATTTACGAAAAAATCCTCGGACCCGTCAATTTTTGATTCAAGGGGGAACCATTTTTTTGCTAGTTTCGCCCCCCTAAGGGCAAAGCCCTAGCGGGGGTGACAAGTGCTCCCAAAATTTTAAATCGAATGGGGGGTCGAGTGATAACTTATTTTGAAGGTATTTTTATGTGGATTATAACCCTTAAGTTTTAAATCGCTACTAATTTGCCTAGCCGATACAGGGGCTAATAAATGTTAAAAACGTGTCAACATTTTCTTATGAAAAAAATGCTTGTAAATGAATTAGTTAAATAACAAAAATTAATACAACAGTAAATACAAAAAATGTTGTTCTCCTACATTCTGAACCGTACTTTTTGTTGTTGTTTTTTTTCTTTTTAATACCTGTAGGTAAGGTGGCTATGCCAATTCTGCAACGGAAATCTTGGTTATTGTTGAGAGCGTTACTATAGCAACATTTTAAAGTTTAATAGTGCTTGTCAATTGTTGTTGTCAAATAATAGTAGTGACAAATACACACCTGTCACTATTGGACTGATTCAAATCCCAGAATATTTCGTGAGGTGCATACAGATACACAACGTCCCGAAAAATTGAATGTTTGGGCTGGCATTTTTGGTAACCATATCGTAGGCCCCCTCTTTTTACCTGGCAATCTAACAGGAGAGAGGTACTTGAAGTTATTAGAAAATACGATTCATCCAGCATTAGTGGAGATACTAGAAAATAACAACGAGTACTTGGAAAATCGTATAGTATTTCAACAAGATGGTGCGCCACCCCACTATTCTGCAAGGGTTCGTCAATATTTGAACCAAACGTTTCCAGGACAATGGATTGGAAGAAGAGGAGCTATTGAATGGCCTCCTCGTTCCCCGGACTTAAATCTGTTAGATTTTTTTTATGGGGACATTTAAAAACTAAAATTTATGCTAGTCAGCCAACGTCGCTAGAGAACCTGCGACAAAGAATAATTGATGAATGTCGTCAAGTCACCCCAGAAGTTTTGCAAAATGCACGGGAAAGGTTTGAACAAAACCTGTATTATTGTATGGAAGTCGAAGGCCAACATTTCCAACATTTACTTGATTGATTTTAGCTTTAAGCACTTAAAATAAAACTAATTTAAATCTTAAGAGTTATAATCTACATAAAAATACCTTCAAAATAAGGTATCACTCGACCCCCCATTCGATTTAAAATTTTGGGGGCACTTGTCACCCCCGCTATGGCTTTGCCCCCAGGGAGGCGAAACTAGCAAATAAATGGTTCCCCCTTGGATCAAAAATTGACGGGTCCGAGGATTTTTTCGTAAATGTTTTGAGGTCCCCAAAATAGGCTCTGTTTCATTTTCAAATGGTCACCCTGTATACCGTGCTTACATGTTTTCTAACAAAATGTTCATGAGCATTTCATAGGGTGTCATCAAATATGGACGGATGTGTTTAACAATTACAGGCGCGGAGACATGTATAGACGGTTTGGGATGCATCCAGGGCTCCAGAAATATAAAGGGCTCTCCAGGCACAATATTGTGAACTTAGTAGTAAGATGAAAAATAGTTTAAAACATGAAATACAGGCTGTTATGGAGGGTGGCGCATCAAACATGAAAAAATATCGTTATGCATTATCTAAAATACAATATAGCAAAATTAATTATCTATCTAATTTGAAATATTCATAAACTTTATTAAAATAAACTTATTAACCATCTGTGCCCATGTAGCAAACAATAAACCTCGAAAAATCTAAAAGGCATTTTATATTGCACAAAAAGAATGAGTCACATCCGTTTTCATTCATTATCGTCCTGACTAATCCTCTATCTACTTCGAGAATGTTCCAGAACGATCGGTACAATAGTTTTATCGTGTGTTTTGTTTAATGATCACTTTGTGTATTAAAAATGTCCTATATTTCTATATAAATAATTATACCGATGAGTTTAGATAGGGGGGAGAGGACTTCAAAAGAAAGTAACGACACCTGAGCTTAATAAATCACCCCCCTCTCCCTGCCAGAGATCCGGACCGGACCGAAAAAGAACCGAAAACCGGACCGAAACCGTTATTCCTCCAGAAATGGAAACGTATTGAAAACCGGAACCCATATTACTTTTTTCGGTTCTTTTCGGTTTTTTACGGTTCTTAACAGGTTATTGGAAGTTGAAGGACGCGCCGGCAACCACGTCCTGAAAATTGATAAAATATTACTCTATGATTGCCATCGGTGGATTATACATTTTTAATAAGGTGTCGAAATTGAAGGCATTACGGGTGGCGATGGGGCTAATTTAGCCACTACTTAAAAAAAATAAAAAAGAGGGGCGAGGTTTTAGAAAATAAAATTTTCCGTTTTTTAGTCTAAATACATATTTCCCTCTTCCTCCTTTATTCCCCTTGTCGTTATAAATTAGCTACACTGACGATACGTCACGTTTTGGTATTCATGACATTTTCTTCACACCTATTAATTAACAAATCATGTTGTTATAATAAATTTTTTGAATGCCATACTTTCTGAAAAACTAGAACCGAAAATAACCGTTATGGACCGAAAAAAATGCGCAGAACCGAACCGTTATTTCTTTTTAGAACCGAAATCGGACCGGGGCCGTTATAAACATTTTCGCTTAAATATAAACAGAACCGGAACCGATATTTCATTTGGGTCCGGGTCCCTGCCCCCTGCCCAAATTATTGGAGGGGTTTTTCGCGTCTTTTACAACATTCTCGTCCCTTTATACATTTTACTCTATTGTAATTGATGCCTCTACCCCCCTATCCCCTTCTTATTTTTTTATGGACCTTATACTGGATTTTTACGGAATCAGAAAAAGGAAATTCATTCAATTTTGACATTTTTCTTGTAATAATAAGTATAGAACGTGCCACGTCATTATTTTTCTTTTTAGCGCATTTCCACAAAAATAAAAAAAAAATGCGCTATTGTGGCCACTTTGTCCGTCCGTCCGTCCGTCCGTCCCCTCGTTTTGCGACGCTACTAGTTTTTTATCTTAAGAGCTATTGTTCTACTTTTTTCGCTATTTGGTTCGTTATGGTGTCGAGTCTTGTACCAAGGAAGGAATTTTTTCTGTACCGCTTACAAAAAAAGTTATTGTAAAAAAAACAAAAAACCGTTTTTTACATGTTCCATAATTTTACACTTTTGCCGTTTATTAACGATCCTAGAGATCGTTTATAATTTTGCATTGCTATCTGTCGTCTGCCTGTTGGTCTGTCCGTTTGTTCCTTTGTCTGTCTGTCCATCTATCTGTCCGTGTGAACGATAACTTTGTTTAGAAATGTTCGATCACTTTTACATCTCCGTTAGTTATGAACTGAATTGCATGAAATTCAATATGGGCATAGCTTTAGCCATATAATACGCAACGCCAAAAGTTGAATCGAATCGATTAAAAATTCACAGTGCCCTTTTCGCATCTCGACCATTTATAAACCGAATTGCAAAATTTTTTACTTATAAAAGCATTTGAATGAAATTTGATACATAGGCACCTGGAATAAAGGAAAATCAACTGCCAATTTCAAAATCTGGTTTTGCGCATGCGCAGTGCCAACTTTTTTATTTTTGGAAGAATTTAAACGAAATTTGATACATAGGCACTTGGGATAAAGGAAAATCAAACGCCAATTTCAAAATTTGGTTTTGCGCATGCGCAGTGCCAACTTTTTTTATTTATGTAAGAATTTAAATGAAATTTGATACATAGGCACTTGGAATAAAGGAAAATCTAGCGCTAGTTTCAAAATTTTATTTTGCGCATGCGCAGTGCCAACTTTTTTATCTATGGAAGCATTTAAGTGAAATTTGATACTTAGGCGCTTGGAACAAAGGAAAATCTAACATTAGTTTCAAAATTTAGGTTTGCGCATGCGCAGTTCCAACTTTCTTATTTAGAAAAGCATTGAAATGAAATTCTTCTCATAAACTGAAATTGAAGTAGCACGTCAAAAATGGATTGCCCATGTGCAACGCTATCTTTCATATTTGTGGCCGGATTTTTACCATTTTAACAGAAGTTGCATCTTACAAATGGGAAATGAATGCAAGTGGAAATGCGCTTTATGTAAATCGTTTACGATTACTTTTTAACTTGTTTGTCCTTTACCTCATTCCGTAAAAATCCAATTAGGCACCTATAAGAAATAAGAAAGTAGTAGCTTATACACGTAGCGTGTAATGGAAATTCTGACAACCGATTCAGATTCTTATTTATTTGTTTATTGACGTATCGATAATTCGACGATTAAATGATTGATTCTCCGAAAAAATGTGCCCATTTACCCTACACTGTATTTCTCACCCTTACGGAGATCCCAATGGTGAGACACGAATTTGAACAACCTTGTACTTCATGCCTCATTTTCCTAAAGTTAGAGTCATTACTGTGTAACCAGACAAGTTTTCAAAAATTTGGGGGGGGGGGGGCTAACTTAACATCAAAAGTTACTCTTTTCCTATCATGTTTTTATACTAAATTGTGCTCTTAACGAATGCGCCGTAAAAAGATATCTTTGCGCCAGTCTTGTTTTTAGTTATCTTTAAGTATATATGGTATGGCACGTGATCGCAGCCCCCCCCCCCCCCCCATAACGTATTTTGTGTTGTTGTTACCTATGCCAATCGATACATCCAGTTATGGAACCCAAATACAATTTTACTTATAAAAGTATTATGCTATTGAAATCATATTTGAGTGATCGTGCTCAATATGTGGGTTTTAATTGCTTTGAAATCTCAAATTATGTGTGGAGTGCCGCAGGGTGCAGTTCTCGGTCCGATACTGTTTTTGATTGACATCAATTAAAAGGTTGAAAAATGGCTTATTGACAATAGACTAAAATTAAATGAAAATAAATCGGTAGAATGTGCAGTTTTTTCGAACCACAACTAAAATGAATTTGTAGGATATTTCAATTTTTTAATAAACGAAAAGAAAAATATTGAATACACATCGCCCCCCAAATCGTCCCTCGCTATCTATCCCCCCTCACTCATACCCTAAACCGCTCATCTATCCGATTTCATATGGACACTTCCGGAATCACTTCCGGCTGAACCGGAAATCGATGCAACTTTTGTTTTTCAAATGCATTGCCTGTGTTTTTCAAGATATTTGAAAAGAGGACTCAAGTTCAAAGAACCGCAAATTGTAGGACAAACTAGGACGCTGAATTTTCTAAAAGTTTTCTCGAATTTTCTTCAATTAATACATATTTGTCATCTGCATAATAATAAATTTTTATTAAAACTAGTATTGAAATTGAAAATAAGGTTTCGGAACGTTGGTCCCAATACAGAACCCTGAAGGCACCCTTTACTTATTTCTTTGGTGACCGCTTGAAACTTATTAAGTACTGTAACGTGTAATACGATCTTTTACGTAATTTTTTATTACACTCAATAAATCTGTTTCACAATTCATGCTTTTGACTTCGTACATGATAGCTGGCCACCATATACTATCGAATACCCCTTTAATTACAAATAAATGGTCCGAATGTATTTTTTATCAGAGGATTTAACACGATTAAAAAGTTCTTTAATCGCGTGTTCTGTTGGCCTGGCTAAATAAACTGTTTATTATTTATTTTGTTTTCTTTCTCCAAAAAGTAATTTAGTCTGTCATTAATTAATTTTTCTAAAATATTTCCAGAGCAAAGTAGAAGCATTATAGGTCTGTAATTTGAAGGATCCAAGAAATTTCTATCTGCAGCTTTTTTTGATTATTATTAATTCGTTAATTTTCCTGATTAGAGCAAATCTTAAACGCATTCATTGACGGACCTTCCTAAATTTTTGTTATCAGAAAGAAATAAAAAACTCAAAAAATATGGATCTCAGTTATTTAAATAAATTATAATAACGCACATGAGAATTACGGAACGAAAAATAAAGTAAGGAGTACTTACAGCGCCGTTGGTTGAGCAGAACAATGACTGGATTTTTGTTTATTCTTCTATTGTGAAGTTTAGGTTCTTAGAGTTGAAGTTTGGCAGGACACGTTAGTAAAATTTTTATATTAGCAAGCAGCAAAATTGGAACTTGTTTTCTTCTATTTTCCAGTTCTGTTCACGACGCATTTCCTGATTCCACGAATATTTTTCGTGCGCACTAAGTAAGTACATACAAGGACGGACACAAAACGGCAGGGAAAATCAAAATTGTGAGTAGGTAATAACTGTATCAGGAAATTTTAAATTAAGGGAAAACGTACCTGATATTTATCTATGCAACATTTCCATTTCTTTGGAAAATATCCATGTTTTAAGCATGCATTGTAAATTATTTTTAATTTTTTTCTTACATGCTGTTTTTATATCGATATTACTTTTGTCCCTAACCTGCGGCTTTTTTCTTTCTGTTTAAAGATGCCATTTTGAATTTTGCTATGAGTGAATTTTATAGGATTATTTTGACTTATATTTGGGGTTTCTGAAATAGTTCTTTTTAATATTCAACTGTTAGTTTGTTCAATAATTTGGGATTAAATATTCAGTTAATTTTGTTGCTATTTCAATCCAAGCAGTTGTAATATTACCTTTTTGTGCCAAATTGTTTGTATATCTTTTTTTTCTTTTGAAATTTTATGTATGATACCCCATGGTTAGTCGTTGCTATGTGCGGTTACAAATTCCTTTACATTTTCTTATTTTGCTTTTCTAATCATTGTTACATAGATGTTCCGTTCTTTTTTTATAGTTTTATTTTGCTGTTTCTTTTAATTCTGAATTTTTTTTATGTTTTATGACCCATTACCTACCTTCTTTTCTGTTTTAAACTTGTATTCCACGATCTATTAAATTTTACACTTTGTTTAATTTTAGGTATGATTTTTATTATTAGCTGGTTCTATTTGTTCTTCTTTTTCTAAAATTTCTTGTGTGTTAAAACTTAAATTTTGACAGGCCAGTTTTTCAAAGAGCATCGTTCTTTATCGATTTCTAGTATATTATTTTTATAACTTACTAAATTTATTTGAAAAGTTATGACATTATGATTACTAATAGTTAAATTATTATGACTTTCTATGAATTTATATTTTTCCTTAAATTTTTGGTGATGGCAGTTGCCTTGATCTTTGTTTCCCCAGTTCCTACATACGTATAAGAGTTTCCCGATTTATTAGAGCTTGATTATTATGATATTGTTTTCTGCAAAAATTTTCTCTAGATTTTGACACCTAGTTTCCGTTCTGTGACTATTCCATGTTATAGATTTTGCGTTGGAATCCATTCCTATAATAAATTTGTATTTTGCTCTAGGGGGAAACAAGTACCACTTTGGTGTATTCAAATTCAAATTAATTCACGTTAATTCAAATTAATTCGCGTTAATCAAATTAATTCACGTTAATTCAATTTAATATCAAATTAATTCTCGTTTATTAAAATTAATTGACATTAATTCACTTTAATTCAAATTAATTCAAAGAGGTGTACACCAAAATCTCAAAGTTGTTTCCTCCTAGCTTTTGCTACTTCTTCTTCAAATTTATGGTGACTGTTTTAGAGTGTTATAAATTTAATTGCAAGAATTTTAGTGTTTTACTTTCCCTAATCTTATACTTCCGTTTATCCATATTTAATCCTTTTAGCATATTGGTGCTTGTAATATGGGCAATCGATACTTTTTACACTATGATCCGCTGGTTTACAGAATCTTTTACAATATTAACGCAAGTATGTTCGTCTTCTTTGCAGTTTTTAATATTCGTGACTTTTAATTCCACATTTACCACAAGTGTCAACTTCTTAATTGCAGCGCTTTGAAGTGTGACCAATACCTTGGCACTTGTAGCATCTTTCTATAGACACGAAGTCCTGAATGTTACACCTTTCCCAATATATGTAAATTTTGCCTCGATTTATTAACTTTTCTCTTATTTCTTTATTTGTCTCTAAAAAGTGTGTGTTGTCCGTATTTTTAGGACCAGTTTTAAAGCTTAATTTGATTTGTTCCTCTGAAACAATTTTCTCTAGTTCTGTCTCATCATTAGTTAGATTTTGCTTAATTAGTGCATTAATGATTTCTTCTTTCTATAGATTCGAACATTATAAATGATTAATTTTGGCCTATTTGAGTTTGGAACCCTAGTAATCAACCCCTCGTTTAGTAATGAAATTTGTTATTTGTTCTATGCCTGTTTTTTCCAACGTCTCAATTAGAACACGCTCGTTTCTTGTAGGTATTTCTAATTTTAGTTATTTTCAGGCTTCTTTTAGCCGAATCAATAAGTTTATTTAATTTTTCTCTTATGTCATTACTATTTTTTTCATGTGAGTTAATAGTTACAACGTTATTTTGCTCCCATTCAATGTTTTTGTTTTTATTAGATAATTTTTGTTATGTTTCTCGAAGCAATATTAGTGCGTAGGATGTTGTTTGTATAAAAACTTATACGCTTTATTACTAAATGTTGTTTACGATGTCTCGAAGATATACAGTATTGGTTTTGAGCCGTTTTGAGCTCTTTAAAAAATCGACACTTTTCGGAAAAACTCCAAAAAAATGAAGAAACATTTACTGAAACAACTTTTTTTTATCTGTATAGCCATTTTAAATTCCTTCTATTAGAAGCAAGGCGATTCCTTACGACAAACATGTCAAAACTCGAAAGCGTTGCGCGCATGTGCAGAACTAACTCTCCTATTGGTGGTGCGAACTTTCATTCCACCTCTTTCTAATAAAAGCAAACTAATCGCTTACGTAAAACACGTGGGGAGGGGGAGGGGTAAAATTTCAAATTACATTACTGTAATTAAACGTAAGAGGACCGTTTAAGATGAGGCCCTGCGGGATTTCCCTGGTATCCCGCGTGTCCAGTTCATTTGGTGTTCGGTGTAAAGTTGGAGCTCGTTTTTTTTTAAAATAGCATTTCATACTTGTACACTCATAGTGACAATGATCATCTACAATTTATATTAGAATGGCGTGTCAGAAAATTGGAACACTAACGTACAGAATAATTGATATATGAGACGCTTGAGGACTTAATAGAATACGAATTTATGAAAGTGAGGAAAGCGACAATAATTTTAATAAAAAGTAACTTACAAATAAAACTTTTCGTCCCAAACAGGATTAAGCTCTTGAGGCATTGTGCGTGTGCGTTTCTTTACTTTACCAACTTGAACAGTAACGTAAGGATCGGAAGTCCCGCTTTTATCCTTTGCAATTAATCCTTGTGCACATTTGACTAAAAACAGAAAACAAATAATAAGTAATCGGTTTGCGGCTGTCGCTACGAATAAATGTATGAATTAGGAGAGCACACACGTATAATTTTACGTACCTGACTCTGTATCATTTCTTTTAATTAAAAGTATATCTTACACATGCAAAGGAAGAAAGACATGCATATAGAATTACCATTTTAAAGATCCACACCCCTACGGAAAGATAAAGCATAAAAAGCATAAAAGCGTTATGTTGCAAAGAACTCAAATTGTTGTAAATTAAATGATTCCCTTCTTACATCTAGATAATGATAATAGTATGACAAACATAAATTTAAAAAGTAAGCAAAATGGTTATGTTGGCTTGTTGTGTAGGGGTGTGTATATTTCCATATGTTGTGTAAAGAGTGTGTAAGAATCATTTGCATTCGTGTAAGACAGTGATGAAAATGTGGACATCTAAAAGCTATATACAAGACATAAAGCACGAATTACAGTGTATAGCTTTACGATGTCATAAAGCATTTGTCGTAGGAATGTTTATTGTTATCGTTTTAATAATCATCAACAAAGTAAGCGGGGGAGATATTAAATTGTGCTATTTGAGATTAAGTCGATCTAGCCGCCACCTAGATTTTAACAATCTGAGGCAGGTCTGTAGCTACATTCTATGGGTATGTTGTAGCGCAGTCAAGTAGCACTACTCCGCTTTTTTTTTGTAGGACGTACCACACAAACAAGCTAAGTACACAGCCTTCAACAAACATAAATTGCGTTTTCTCTTTACGTATTTACACCTTTAACAAACTTTACAAGTATGTGCAGTTGACTTTGAGAAAGTGTTAAGTGTAGATCTGTGAAAGGACCACATGCGATTTCTCTCCGGCAAAAGCTGCAGATTTTCCCCATAGGTTGAATGTAAAATATCCAATCTCCTCTGTAACTAGACCTTAACTTAATCTACGGAATGGCAAATTATAATTGCGTTCGCACAAAAATGCAATAAAAGCGATCGTTTCCAATAAAGTTTACGGCATTGTAAAAATATATAATACGACGAACATAAAGGGGATGGATATCCCTGTTTATTGAAAAAAAATGTAAAACTTGTAGCGCCATTCGGAATGTCTAATAAATTCCGATGCCTGCGACTTATACGTATGGACATCAAGCGCTTTTGGGAATCGGAGACATTTGGCCTATTCAAATTTAAACATTACTGTATGTAAGTTACCTTACATCAAGGTAAATTACGAAATGATTTAGGTACCAATATAAAGGCCTAAACTGAATGTTTTTGGCTGAACCGATCACGTGGCTACTTTGCAAAAATTCGTTAATTAAATAAGTTTTCGCATTCTTGCCAGTTTTGCACCGTTATCCATGCGCTTTCCTGGAAAGATCTCAAAAATAGAGAGCTTCCACATTGGGAAAGTGGTAGGTCTTGACGAGACGCACTCGTCGCCAATAGCGAAATTTGCTTGCCCCAGGAAGGTAATCTGTACATCGGTAGCGGTTTCGTCTATCAGCTGGTGAACATTTTGAGTTTCTCATTGGATTTGAATTGTTAACATAGATCCTACTTCCAATATACAGGGTGAAGATTTTCTCTGGAACAATGAATATATCTTCAAAACATGTTTTTTTTAAAGAAGATTTTTACGGTATTCAAAACTATAAAAAGTTTTCTACCAATCTACGTACTTTGTGGCCAGTGACGTACTTCTGCATGGCCAAGGGGGGCTTATTTTAAATGGCTACCACTAGTTTTCATTACATATTTTAACTTTTTTGGATATAGCAGCATCATAATAATAATAATCATATGCGAGAAAAGTTAAGGAAAACGTTTGTGTTAATTAATTTAATAATTTCACTAAGTTGCGTTGAAAAAAATTTATTCTTAGTTATGTGAGAGCAATTTATTGTGTCAACGTTTATAAAAAAATTTAAGTAAATATACATGCTTAATAATTATTTACAGTGGCGTGCGTCTACCGAGGCGTTTACAGAACTAAGAGGGTCACCTTTTTTAACTGAGAGCACTCAGGTACTATTACAGTAAATTAGTAATTAATTAATTAACAAAGCATTTTCATAATTTGAGTTTTTCTTTTAAATTTGATTGTGTAATAGAATAATTTTTTATTCTGCTATATCCAAAAAAGTGTGCTCTTTAAGAGTGTGTAATGAGTAGTGGTTGCTATTTAAAAAAAGTGTTCCCTGTTGACCATGCAGAAGTACGCCACTGACCACAAATTTTAAAGTACTTAGATTGATACCAAATTGTTTATAATTTTGAATACCATAAAAATCTTTCTTAGAAAAATGTTGCCTTGAAGTAGACCCACCTTGCAGGGGTGCCAAGAATGGGAAAGGGGTGAATCTGTACCCGGGAATGCTACAAGATGTATCTCCCAGGAGAATTTCTTCAAAGATATTGACATCCAAAGGGAGTGGAAGGGAAGAATCGTAGAATCCACCTTAAAGTACCGTGTGACCTATTTTGGTTGAGACTGCGGTGTATCTCAGCTGTTTTTAAAGATAGAGACTTGCGATGTTCGCGATCCTGTACCACTTTTTTTGTGAAACTTTTAATACAAACAGAATTAATTTATCTAATGAGATACAGGGTGAAAATCAAAAGGTACTGTGTGACATACCCATGTAAGGTAGAAAAAAGAGTAGAATCAAGTGGCATAGTAAAAATATATTTTTGAACAATCAATAAAAATGGCTGACGGTAGAAACATTAAAAATGTTGAAAAATGATATAAAAAATATAGGTTGTGTTGTGATACATCAATGTTATCAGGAAAACGAATGCAAGTAATTGACATTAAGATACACAGGATGTTTCATTTAATAAATACCAACATTGGGTCAAATCTCAGAAACGGCGGCTCAACATTTTTTTTACTATACACCCCTGAATTTGAGGTAAAAATATCTAAAAACCGAAACAATTTTTACGTTTTTTCTATCTTACATGGGTAGCAAGATACGATAACATTTCAAAAAGTCAAACTTTTCATGTTTACCCGGTATCACAGAAACAAGAGTAGCTAGGGTGATTCTGTTTGTGGCATTAAACAAAACAAAAAAGTGGCACAGGGTCGTAAAACCCCAAGTCTAAATTATTAAAAACAGCATATCAGTCTCTATCAAAATAGGACACACAATACAGGGCTCAGAATAATAAAAGTAAACAGAACTTCTGCAAGATAAATATAAGGGCATGTCTGTTATAAAAATCTAAAATGTCATTTATCTACCGTCCACAGCTTTGGAATCTAGATTCCAAAAGTTTATAGCTTTACTACTATAAAAGGTATAAAGAATGGCAAAAGGGAAAAGATTTATACAGGGTGTAATAATTAAGTATTTGTATGTACCAAAACAGGATGGCAAAAGGGAAAAGATTTATACAGGGTGTAATAATTAAGTATTTGTATGTACCAAAACAGGTATTCTTTCCAAATAAATCGTAAAGGGTTTAGAACCCAAAAGCACAAAATCTTGCAGTAGATTTTTGGGTATGCCGTTTCTGATTTTGTATAAATTTTCAAAATTCTTACGCCCACCCGAAGGTGGTGCACTTTCAGACAAAGACAAAGAAATCTGATCTCAACGAAATTTAGTATCTGGGATCAAGAATATTAATAGAAAACGATGCATCAACGAGGGATAATTAACAAAAATTATGCAGTTGAAAATGTTCCTTTTATGTGATAAGAGTGGGAAATCAAAAATTGCTTTTAATAATTTTTCCTTCTTTCTATTCGGGTAATTGTTCATGCAAATATTAGAATATCATAATATTTTGTGTTATATATATTATACAGGGTGTTTAGATCTTCGCCCCTTGGATAATAGGGGCTTCATTCTGCGACAAAACTGAACAGAAAGTCCTATTACATTTTTGCTATCAGACAAATACGAGCTTGGAAGGAAAATGAGACAGAACTGAAGAATTATTTTTGTATTTTATAACTAATAATAAAATTTGATTTCATTTGATAATAGTATAATAATAGCAATTTTGGGAAAATGTAAAAAAAAGCTGTAACGGCGTACCTAAAAGCCTAGACAAATCCATTATTTCTATCGTTCTCTGTATTATGATTTTTGAGAAAAAAATTGAAAATGAAGCGCAATTTTGAGACTTCTTTTAATTTATTCCGCTCCCAAAGGTCTCAACATTTGCTTTTGCTTTTCGCACCATAACACACAAGCTTCTTTGGCCTCATTTTCAGTATTGATTTTCCGATTTTGAAGAAATTACGCCCTTAAACGTACGTGCAGAAAGAGATTCTGATCTCAACGAAATTTATTTGATTTTTTCAACGTGAAAATGAAGAATCCAAAACTATCTTTTGAAAATTCCAACTGTAATTCTTGGCGAGCCAAAAAAATGGTCAGAAATAAAAAATTAAAAAAACCTTTTATCTAAGTAGTGCAGTAGCGGAAGGCATACCCAAAATCCTAAGCATGACTGTTTATTCAAAAATCCTTGTGTTAGGGTTATTGAGAAAAAAAATTAAAGAAAGCGCAAATTTTGAAAGTTTTGTAAGCGTAACCCTAAAACCAAATTTTTGGTCTTTTAGAATATTTGGAAAAAATAAATTCGGTTTTGATCCATTACCATCCAGTTATTTTTTAATTGGAAATAGTCTTTTTCGATATAATAGATTTGAAAATAAGACACTTTTTCCTTTGCAATTGTTTATCTCACATAGTAATGGAACAATCAGCTCTTGAAAATCTTCCGAATTACTAATGCTGTATGTACAAGGCAAATGAGCCACCTTGTACATTTTAAAATATTTTGTATATTTAAAAAAATGATTATTTATGAATTGCTGCGCTCGCACATAGAGCAAATAAATAACAGTTGCTATTTTTTGTGGGCACGGAAACAGTCTTATAATTATTAATTTTTTCAGCGAGATTAATGGATAGTTTTTGTGGTAAATGGAAGCAGAAGCAGTGTTTTTTTCATGCAACGGATTTCTTCAGTGACAATTTCCAAAAGGCACTGAGTTAGAATGCACTTTCGGGTATCCCTTCCCTCGTACTTTTTGAATAATTTCAAAAGTTTTTTTAAAATCAATTAAGAAAAGGGGACAGCTTGATAGATTTTCTTAATGTATTCGGTTTTCTCACTAGTATATAGTTCTATTGTACATTGTCACTGGTAACAACTGCAAAATAGCCAAAATTGATTATTATTTACTATCATTAGACATTTTCCACTATTAAAACGCATATTTACTATATTAATGTAATAGTAGGAAAGCCCAATAGGGCATTTTCCGATGTCCTCGGGCGCGTTATGTTAAAGTAAGGTGGGTTAACTACGTGTTGCAAAGTGTGCATTTCAATGATCTGCCGATTTGAATGGAACGTGAGGGAGTGGGAAAGTCATAAACTTGCTACAAAACTTCACCTTGACATTCAATAGGTCTCTACGACACTAGAGAAATGCATCGCGGGCTCTCCTAACTGGAGTTTTACATTTTGGTACCTAACGTGGTCATTACATAAGGGAATTAGACCCCGTTAAATGAAGAAACAAGACGTGGTTATATGGAAACATGGATTAGGTACTTGTAGATGCAGTCGCAAAATAGCCTTTACTTATCTGTGCCGTAGTAGAGTAAAACCTATGAGGATAATTTATATGAGACGAAGGAACGCTTTTCTGCAGCGAATCACGCGTCTAAATTCGACCAAAATTGCAATATTAAATCTACTCACCCGTACGAATATTAAGTAAAAACTAAAAAAGGAAAGGTCGGCAAATCAAGCTATAGTTACAGAGAGCTTCAGAAAATATAAACTCAAAATATAGTCACAGATTATAGTCATGTCTACCTTGGAAGAGATTAGATTTAAAGAAGTTAAAAGATGCATTCCATTATAGTGGGTGCACAAAAAATGTGAAATCAGTAAAGGCAGTTGGTACTTTAGCGTGTTATGTTATGCCCGAAACCCGTTAGAATGCAGCTGGCAATACCTGTGATAGCAATCTTGCATGACCACTTGGAAGTGCCTTCAATGGTCATTTCTTCCGCTTGCTCGATTGAATCAATGTGTGTATCTGGGTCCACTGAAAATGTTGTTCTGCGCGCCAGCACCGGAAACAAGAACACCGATAACAACAAAATATGAACACAACAAGCACGGGGATATCTCTGCACTATATCTCACCTTTAACTAATTGGTTACTACTAAACCCTCGCGCTGCATAATTTAATTGCGCGAGGATATGTCCAATTAGTTTCAAAGGCAAAGCAAGTTAGGTGATGGATCCATAATATAGTAGCAGCGTCACATTCAACATTCTTTGAGTGGAACAATTAAGTTAATGCGGTCTTAACTTGATTGATCGTACACTGTTATATGTATAATTATGTACAGTTAGTAAAAATAACAGCGTATAGGGTTACAATGAGGACACCAATCGTACGTAGTCCCGACAAACCTGTAATTGCTATTTTAGCTGACCACTTCGACGTGCCATCCAATACCGACTGTTTCACGGCTTTCATGTGACCCGAATGACTTTTGTCTTCTACGCCAAAGACGTCCCTGTATAGTTTAACAATATGTAATATTTGTCAAAAAGGTTTACATTAATACTGAAAAAGAACAGATTATTACAGTGCGTCCCAAATATATACATCATCATCGCCCAGCCATACAGATTAGTCCGTAATTTAATCGGGATTCTATTAACCTTTTATAATGGCGTACAACCTCGTAAAGGAAAAATGTTGATATATAATGGGAGCATTTGCTGAAAAACAATCTGAAAAATTTGCGAATTTATCACAAACCCTCGGAGCTCCTTTTAGTAAAACAACCAACCTTTTCGCTATAACAAAGTATTTTCGAATTCTTTGTGTTGTACAAATCCAAATACTGTGATGCAATTGCTACGTGGTTAGTTAAATCGCTAAGAGGTAATTTATTTTGTCATTGTTCACGCCTCTTACGCAAACATTTTTTGTAAAAGTTTTCCATTTACGTTTCTCTGCTACCGTGAAAAACGCGAGGTAATTTAATTAGAATTCTTTCAAAGTAGATGAACGGTTTCCATGTCATTTAAATAAAACAATCCAGAAATTTTCATCAGGACATTTAAAGAGATTGAAAAGTTGCAAGTTGCTAATTTCGCAATTTTTATGCTGCGGTTTCTGCAGGAATAATAAATTAAACCCTAACGTGCACAAAATAATATCACGACCTGTTCAGTTTCGTGCCCTAGACACTTAATTTTTTTATGGAAAATGTAGACGACACCGCTGATATCAGACAGATAAACTGAAATCAATACCTTTCTTTTAGATACACGCATTTTTTATCTTTACGACTGTTGGGCGACTTTCGGCATAAAATCGGAAATTTGATGTACTCCATCGAAATTTAGTATGAAAGTAAACGTGACCTTCTGGGTCCATCAGATTTGATCGCAGTCTTTAATCGATTTTCAATTGTAAATTTCGTATTTTATGTTCGTGTGATGGCTCTCGGTAACCGAAAGATTGGTGGAAATTTACATTTTCTACCTCGAAGTGAACGGAGCTCATTTTCCATTCGGAGTTATTGGTGATTACACAAAAGAAATCAATTGTAATTAGATAATGCAGTTGATTATTCAATTTATCCGTCCTGTGATAAGTAATATACACTTCACATTCTGAAATGTACAGGGTGGGTCAAATTCCGTAACTAGAGCGGTTATTTGACGCAAATTTTTGTGTGATCTTTTTCAGTGAAATATGCAGAAGGATAATTTCCAAGTTTAAAAGAAGTCATGGTTTCAGTAATATACCACCAAACAAATACTCCTTATGGTACATACAAGTTTGTATTTCGGCGTTCAGCGAGCTTTAATTGTCGTATGCGTCGTAGTCACGTCTTTGTTTTAAATTGTATTTGACGGAAAATTGTTTCGTTTTACACGATAAAAAGAGGTCATATAATGTTACATTTCTGACACTGCGAATTAAGCTATCTCCGCCATTACTACTCCACCGTAAAATAGGTATTTTAAGTCAACTTAGTATAGAGACAAGGGATGAGCTTTGCACTAAATTAGGGATTCGCGTTTGAGCCGTAGCGCTAGTTGAAATTCGGGTTTGAGTCGTCAACCAGAGAGAGTTTCGTTTTGGCATCCAAAGAGTCAATACGAGGGTCAGTCAGTCAGCGTTTAGTATAGCGGCTTTTAGAGCCTAAATAATTCAATTTAGCGCTCGGGCTTAAAAAAAGAAGTTAACCTAATTCAAAGCGACGTTTAGTGTCCATTACATTCCGTAGCCATTTATCATTTATCTCAGTGGGGAAAGTTATGCGAAAAAGTAAAGTCCGTTTTAATTTTCGCTACCCTAAGTGAAATTTGCGTGCGCACATCAGTTTGTCAAGAAAAGTTCACCCAGGTTTAAAAGAATACAAAATTACGCCCAAGGAATCTTTACACGTTCTCGTATAGAAGTTAAAAAAACCGCTTAATCGTGTCGTAATTTAGTTAAATAAAGACCATGTCCGTATTTATAAACAAAGTGCTATTCAGCAAATTCCACAAAGAAAGTTAATATCTCGTCTAAAACGAAATTGCGACAAAGAAAACTGTTCGTAACTTTAAATAAATTTCATGGTCACTTTGTGCCGCTACAGTGAAGTGCAAAACAGTGAAAATGTTTACTAGAGGGACTTTCTAATTTGAAATACAATTCAAAGGAGATGCACTCTTAAACGTTTTCGATATTTTCCGTGTTTCTTTTTATCATTGTACCGTCATTTATTATTTCCGTTGTTTCTTTTTATCATTGTACCGTCATTTATTATTTCCGTTGTTGGCATTGTGCTGGACAGTACGAAATTCAAAGACTCCGTTTGTAGTAACTCTTTCAGCTAAAGGAGATCTCTTAAGCAAACCGAGAAAGTAGAAAGGTAAAGTAAATAGAGAACCGACAGAGCTAGTTGTCGGCATAATGAACTATTTTCCTATATTTTTTATGATAGAGTTTTCTGGTTGCAATTTCATCTTCAATAAAAAGCAAGGCAAATTGTCAATCAGTAAATTGCAGCAGAACTTGGTAGCTCCGTAACGGTGAAAGATACCGTTTACGTTAAATGGGGGCAGAGTTGTCCCTTTTTGTGACTAAAAATGCTTTTGAAAACTCCCATTTAGCATACACTGAATCTCTCACCGATAGGTAGATCCTAATGGTGCGCCATGAATTTGAAACACCCTGTACAGGTGTGTCCAAAATAGCAAACTCCTTATTCAGGTTACTACTAACGCTTTAAAGAATTCATGTGCAAACTGGATGTAATTTTCACTTCTTTTTCCTCAAAAGTGTTTGGAGCGCTTACAAGTTACATACCATTAGCACAGACAACATATACTACAGACGGTCAATGCAATGCTATAGAAATAAACGCAACACCTAATAGAGTACGGTTAGTGTGTTGTCTACCTTGCAGCAGTCGAAATAATTTGTCGTAAAATGTGGTAGACGCACAGAAAACTGTTGTGTGTGGTAAAAGTGTGTAATAGATGGAGTCATTTTTGTAAAAATAAAATACATATACTCAAACCTTATTTCCTCGGCTTCAACGCCGGCCTTTACGTAGATAAAAGATAAGCGCTCACTTGTATAACATCATAAATTACATGAAATAGGATACATTTTAATTCTTCATTTTTCTCTTTTCTAAACATTTAAAAAATTGATGGAGCGGGTTTGGTTATTATACAAGGGCGGAAACTAAATTTGGCCTCCACATATAAAATTATGAGGTTGGACAAGGAAAGATTTTATTAGAATAATAAACATAATTTTTGTTTTTCCATAATAAATATATTATTATACCGGGTGGTGACTTGTTCAACGCACCATAGGAATTGCAATAGAAATTTTTTCATTTCACTTCTCTAATTATTTTAGAGAGAAAGTCTATTTAGGTTTTTTGCAGGGAAAAAAATTACGAATCCATGCATTTGCATACTATAGCTTTTAATTTCCTGAACTTTGAATCCAAGAAATTGGATAATTAAAAACTGGCGCTTTTAAGAAAATCAGTGGTGCCATGGCAATTTGAGATCAAACATGGCAAATGCAGGCGCTTTTGTTTGATTTCCTAACTCCATGGAATTACCGACTTTATAAACGCGACAGTTTTTAATTTTTTAATTTTTACTGATTCTGAATTTATAAAATACGGAACAAGAGTATGTACGGATTCGTTTATATAATTCGAGGTAAATCTTGTGTTTGTGAGTGCTGAGGATGTGGACTCAGTGATCGCAAAACTCAATCAGGTTATAAAAGAATTCTTAAGCTGGTGTTGTAAGAATAACCTAAAAGCGAACATAGATAAAACTACCATTATTAATATGTCCCGTATAAAAAAAGGCTGCTGCAATATACTCATAGAAAATACGACCATTCAATGTTCGCAAACTGCTACCTACTTGGGATGTAAAATTGACAACGAACTATCCTGGCATACTCACATCGAGCACATCCGAACAAAGTTAAATAAAGCATTCTACTTGATAACTCGTATTAAACATCAAATCGATCAAAATAGCGTAATTGAAGTGTACTATGCAGGGGTGTATTCGCACTTAAATTTCAATATCATGTGCTGGGGTGCTAGCCCGGAAATGCAAAGAATATTCGTTTCACAGAAGCGCATAATAAGGCTTATATTTAATCTAGGGTACGTACATGCAGACATGCAGAGAGACCTTTAAAAAGTACAAAATATTACCGCTTGCATGTATTTACATTTTGAAATTATTAACATACGTGCATTCGCATTATGATAACTTTATCAAATTAAATAATGTGCATCAACATAATACTAGAGGCAAACAAAAGATCCTAAGCCACCGGCATCACCACACATACTATACAAGATCTCCGTTCCATATGGCCACGAAACTGTACAATCTACTACCGAAAGACCTTACAATCTGTGCCACCAAACAATTTAAAGAAAAGCTAAAATCAATTCTCCAACAAAATGCATTCTATACTGTGCAAGAGTTCATGGAATTTTGTGACGCCAGACTTCAGGAATGGGCTCTATGAGTGCAGTATAGTATTTTATATTTACAATTGTATCTGTTCTCGCTAGTCTATTGTGTCTATATGTTATTCAAAAATGTTATATTGTGATGTATTATTTTGACGTTTCTATAATTGTGTTTTTGCAATTTACAGAATAAATATATATTATTATTATTATTATTATCTTTCACTCACGCCTTTGACGCTCCCGACGAAGGCGACGACGGGCGACTTCAGCGCCCCCCAGACTTGGCGTCCAGGGCCTGGGCCCCCCTCGCCCCTCCCCCTCACACGGCCTTGCCTACCTATATGTATCTGTGATAATACCATCACAAATTTTTTTGATTAGGGGAGGGAGCACTTAACGAACTTTATTTTATGTCAATGTGTAGGGTCAACATAGTCCAGTCAAATTAGCTCCAAAAGTATTCTGAACTGGATGTTGGCATTTCACACAACGAAACCAAGTGTATTCTATGTAGTTCACTGCCCGGAAGCTCCCGG